ACCGGGATTCGAATCCACAATCATAGGTTTCTGGCGTACCCAAGGGACGCAACTCTGTACAGCGAATCGCAACAACTGGGCCATCTTCCCGAGGCAAGAGAGTTAACTGACTATAAAAGTCCAGTTTCCACCCTTGCCGAACCAGGCTGGGATTATGGAGTTAGATTTTGGCTGGACTAACGAGTCTGTGCATAGTCCAATCGAAATCCGGTTCGTAAACTGTCATGCAGATTTCGGTCGATTGCAGGATTTGCAAACCATGTGCATCGCCAACTCGTTGTCAACAGATATTTTCCAAATCTTTCTATGTTTTTAATCAAGGTGCTCACGTGATTTGATGTACTTCGCGAAGTAAGAACCGTTTTATCACCAAATAGATCTTGATGGTAGATCAGATCGTCTTGACTGGGCGCCACTATTTTGTTTGAAGGAAATGCATGTGATACGAGAGGTGGAATCTGATTGGTCCATATGGGAGGGGCATAGAATGGACATAACTAGTTATAGGAATTCCAGCCTAGTTCGGCAAGGGTGGAAACTGGACTTTTAAAGTCACGCTTTTGCCTCGGGAAGATGCAACTGGGCCACCCCTGCCCCCTCATAAGTTAATATTGACAGTAGCGGGTGAACACTACCAAACTGACTGTCGTTCATTTCCCGATGAACATCAGTATATTATGTCACGTGATCACGTTGTCAATCGAGCAGAGACATACATAACTACTTTAGGGGGATTCCACAATGTCTAAAAAATACATTAAAACTCATTTGGGAAAACTGAGAGCGACATCGATCCAGGTTATGAAAGATGCAGGCTTTGAAGCCAGACAGATCATGTATAGGTCGTGTCACCGAAATGAAGCGTCCATTCGAAGCTATAACAGAGAATGCTCGACTCGCAAAAAAAATCACTGAGCTCCAGAATATCGTGTATATTGCCTTGGGAAAGCCAAACGCACCGCCTCAAGCGGTAATACCAGTCATCAGCAGCGCTGCCGTAGTATGACTCAAAAACACACCCAAAGTTTACAGAATGTTAATATCAATCCATTTTCAGCAACAGACGGGTCTGGATTTCTTTCCAACGCTAACTTTACTGGGTGCAACATTGATTTCAAGTAGGTATTGCCGCTATTTTCAGCCGTTTGTAAAACCAAGGGAAGTCACCCCAAATGGAATGTTTGGGACGGATGACGTCATGACGTCACGGGTCTCCGCGTAGATACCGTTTGCTTTAAATAATTATAGTTTGATGTTTAATGGATTCCTTTGTTATGGTTTATGTATCTGTCAATATAAGGATTGAAGTTGTATTTTTGACGTTCATCAGCTGATGAAGACAGTGCCTCACGTGAGCAAATTTACCATGAAGATCTTCGCCTCGCGCATCATGTAATTTGCTCACGTGAGGCACTGTCTTCATCAGCTGACGAACGTCAACAAATAAAACTTCAATCCTTAAGTAATGGAGTAGATAGATTTGTAATGTCGCAAGAATAAACTGTTTTTGCAAATTGTTCAGGGTCGAACCGTTTCTCATTTCGCAGTGTCTTTTACGGGATAATCGTGACGTCATAGTGTTTTATATGACGTCATCTGCTTGTCACGTCATTATTGACCTGGCTCACATTTTGAGTAACTATTGACCTTTTTCACACTTCGCTACTTCCGGTTTGAAAGCGAGGCTTGGAGAGCAGAAGTTGAAGGCTAGATAGCACATGAAACAGATGAATTGATGCCTTCAAGATTGTTCTTAAGTAGCATGTAATGTTACACACTGTGATTAAATTTCCTTAAACGTCTCTATTTCAGAAGAATGTTGTTTTCTAAATAAGCAATATTTTGGGAGAAGGTGAATATGCATTGTTTATAATTTTTTTTATTGAAGTAGGAATATTATTACAATATTATTGAATTATTCATTTCAGGCCAGCGAGTCAACACAATGAAGTACTGGTATCTGGTGACGGATGTCTGGAGGAGCTTTCTGCTGACAGTAACACAATGGTTACAATGTGCGTCCTGTCAAAGGACGAGGAAGTCAAAAGCCATAATCTTTAATCAACAAATGTGCTTCCTGTCATATTTCACTTAAATAGGACGAGGAAGTGAAAAGCCTTATTCACTCACAAATCAACATGGCCAATATTTATCGGAACTGAAAAAGCACATTGTACCATTTGTTTACAAGCAAGAAACTTATTTTCTCCTGGAATCTAATTAGGTGCTTTTGACTGACAAAGACAACAGTCCATGTTAAGTTTTGAAAACTTATATTGTGAGAAATAAAGATATGAAAATTTTGGTTTGTTTTTCTTTGTTAAATATGAGAAATCCAGATTGTTCCATCAACAAAATTTGTACCGATACATATATTTTATCTTGGCTTGATTACCAATTGAAGTTGATTCCTTTATATCTTTTATTATTTTATCTGTACTCATATCTGATCAAGACATTTTCAAACTAATCAGGATAAATGTATTAGTAGCTTCCTTTTGATATACAATTACCTATCATCATACAGGATTAGGTGAGGGTGTTCAAGAAGTTGGTAGTTGTATCAATTCTTATATTTCTTCAATTTCATACGGGGCGGTCGGGTAGCCTGGTGGTTAAAGCGTTCGCTCGTCACGCCGAAGACCCGGTTTCGATTCCTGACATGGGTACAATGTGTGAAGCCCATTTCTGGTGTCCCCCGCCGTGATGTTCCTGGAATATTGCTAAAAGCGGCGTAAAACCATACTCACTCACTCACTCAATTTCATACATTATTTATATTTATCAATTTTTAGTTTCCCTTTAACTTATTTTAAACAGTTCACACATTATTACTTTTGTCGTGCACGGTGCAATCTCAATCGGCAATAATCAGTTAAGTAAGTGATGTTTGAAAGTATCATCTGTCATTGTACACACTGAATAGAGTTATCGCCCCTTCTGAATATTTATTTTGACACACAAATTATTTTCATAATTAACATTGTAATATGTTAAAATGAAAATCTTAGCAGAACAAGTGTCTTTTGTCAACTGGACTCATGGCAAAACGATAGTGCGTTGTGCAGCAAACACCACTATGAAACGTGAAATAAACATGATCTTAATCTTGATCTAGAGTTCGCCAAGCCACGCATTGACTGAGCAATTTTGCAAAAGTACACTGACATGTTTCATGTTATGCGGTTTATTTACGATACAAAACTTCTGTCATTGAATGTACTGTCACATTGTATCTATATGCCGACGAGGTTATGATAAAACAATCTATTTCTGAAATACGTATCTCGAAATGCACCTTTCGATTCACTTCCGGGATCCTGACAGCAAAATGCTAATTCCAGTGTATTACAGGCATATTTTAGTTGGACCTCATGATTTAATGTGAAATATCTTCTGTATTAGATACAGAGGATACCATTTTTTGTTTGTTTAAAATGTCCATCAGTGAAATGCACAACATGCTGTCTGTTCCCTATGAGCTGATGCGACTCTCACTGCATGGAGCTATGCTCTCCAAGCCTCGTTTTCGATCCAAGATGGCGAAAGTGTGAAAAAGGTCAATACCGAGCCCACAGACGGTCACAAGGCTATATTGTCACAGAAACTATTTCACCAAAAATGGGCATGCATCTGTAACTTGTGTACACACATGATGAATCCGTTTAACGATAAAACAGTGATCTATCGTGACGTCATTTCTAGAGATTCGAACATGCGCCACAACTTGAAGTCGTAAATTGGACAACGTTTTTAGAGAGAAGTGTCCAGTGAGTTGTTTCCCATACATGTAGCTGGACAGCGCAGATGAACGCAATGGCGATTCGATCGCTTCCAAACGTGGGATAGATATGAAATCGGTATTGGGAGGAAGGATGCAGATAATCGACGGGAAAATCGCGAGAATACCAAACTTAACACCCCTGTACATAAAAATGGAGTTGTCCGACATTTTCGAAGTTGGATTGTATTCAGGGAGTCATCATTATCTAAATACGAGTAAATGTTTTAAAGCATGTACAATTTATTAACAAGGCTGTACAAAATGTTGATATCTCACATAAGATATAAACGACTCGGGAGTCGTTGATATCCATACAATAAAACACTACAGGCAGAATAAACCACTCGGACTGCGCCCTTCATGGTTTATTCTCTCTGCAGTGTTTTATTACATTCCCTCTCGTCGTATATTTCTTAAACATAATGGTGATTTATTACCCACACGGTTAGAAATACCCAGTTCATAAAATCGTATAAGCACTCGTGCAAGTATGACTTCACTAGAACAAGTGTATTGTCAACTTCATACGGACGCGATCCAGGGTAGAATAGGTCTTCAGCAACCCATTCTTGCCGGTCGGCAGCCAGCATAGTTATGCTAAGTCACCACTGTGCCGGAGTGTGAAGGTGATCAATAATCAGGGGATACAATAATTCTGACACTCATTTCGTCAAGTTAGTGTAATAATCTCAATGCAGCTGTGTAGTGCATTAGTTTATCGAGGATGATTGTAAGACAGCTACGTTCTTCATTCATGTTCTGGTTTCATCCACATAAGGAAATCATTCAGTAACTTCAGTACACTCGGGTCATTCCGTGTCGACGTCAGCCAGCAAATTATGAAGTCTGGACCAGACAAACTAGTGATTAATACATTGAGCAACGTCAGGGTGTGATGGCAGTGTATCAACAAAGCCTCCGTCTGACCACCCGATCCATTAATTAGAAGGCGCCTCGTACGACCAGCATAGACAGCTGGGAACTGTCCACAAAACGATCTTAGCGCTATGATTGTCGTAAGCCAGTGTCAAAGTATGGGAGTTACGATCACATTAGCGCTAAGATGGCTTTGTGGAACGGGGCCTTAGGTCTTAGCCGGTGTTTCTACAGGCACAGGGTCATGACAAGTTGACGAGCGCACCTGCTTGAACGGGCAGTTTCACGGCTGCTTAATACGTCGTGAGTTATCTCCCTTCCCTCACAACGAGCACACACATTCTTGTAACAAAAGTATAAATTTTAATGGCAATTTTACATTTCATCTTGTAAACAACAGATAAAAATAAAAAGTGCTTCGTACCAGTGTTTTTGTATCAAAATACTCTTGACAAGGCATCTTCATCTCATAACAACGTTTTGCCCATGTGTCCAGAAGCAGATTGAACACTAGCTAATACAGACTAAAGATATCAACCTTTCATCAAGAACGCAGGTGAACTTCAAACTGCCTTTGTCTATTACAAAAAATAACACTTGGAATGTTTAAAGTAATAGACAACATGTGACAACATTCAAAAACTGACTGTCTTGAAAAAAAGGCAAGGTGTGGTTCAGGCCTTCTTAGACCAAATATCACATTCATATAAACATTTTGTTGGTTCATATGACTGACAAGCATCTTTTTACTTTCTTAAACTTGCAAGTATGTTTACTTTTGACATAATAATGTACCAAAAGCTAAATGAGTGAGAAAGACTAATTATTTTAACTATGTGAGAGTCCATGACCCAAGCTGAACTTAAACTAGATCTCCTGACCAAATCAGCTTGGGTCAAGGACTTTGTCATGTTTCAATGTTAGAACACATTTCCTGAAATCTCCAACATCACCCATTCTAACACATCTTAGCCTTATCCCCACGTATGTTGTTCTGTGTACAAAACATGCCCGTGTTGAATGGAGTCCTTCTCATTCATGTGAATACATACATCTGATAACATTCTAAAACGTTTTCTCATTCCTCAAATTATGCAGATCTAGTGGGTCCAAATGGCCCTTGTCATTTATAATACCATCATACAAGTACTTGATGTCTTCCCAACTGATCATGTGGTTTCCTGTAACATCATGAAAAAGATGTTTTGAACATGCAAGGAGTAGAAAGTCCGCCATTGAGGTCATGGAGGACACGGGAAGGGACTGGTCATTATTTGTCATATAAAGGTGTCATGAAATGATGACAGTTCTAATTTTTTAAATTGATCATTATTTGGGACTGGTCATTTATTATAGGGAGGGGATGCGATGAATGTGAGATAAAATTGGGGAGGGGGGCGGGGGTCACTAGCAAAGTATGATACAGTCCTACTTGTAAGTGCAATCTCACCTCCCCCTAATAAATAACCGGTCCCTTACCATTATAAAGCAGGAGTGCACTTATACAACCATCCTCCATCATATTGTGACATATCTCCACTTGATTATGATTGACAGCTATTTTTGTCATTTGAATTAAGACTCAAAATGAAGGTGAGCAAAAGTGTTCTGGGTATTTCTAGCATGGAGACATTATACACTGGATAATCACGAACTGACAGGGAGACTGGAGAGGAACGTACTGCCTGAGAGCTGGTGGCTGGGTTCCTAATGCTGGAACCACTGCGGGGGAAAATGGACGGAGTCTCAAGGTGGGGTTCTTGGGTGGGGTTTTTCATGTGAGGATCTGCAAGCGGGGTTCTTGGGTGGGGTTGTTCATGTGAGGATCTGCAAGCGGGGTTCTTGGGTGGGGTTGTTCATGTGAGGATCTGCAACCGAGGTTTTTGGGTGGGGTTGTTCATGTGTGGAGCTGCAACCGGGGATTTTGGGTGGGGTTGTTCATGTGAGGTTCGGCAACCGGGGTTCTGGAGGTGGGGGGTTGTTCATGTGAGGATCTGCAACCGGGGTTCTGGAGGTGGGGGGTTGTTCATGTGTGTCTCCAGGCTGGAATACTCGGTGATGACTGTGTTGAGCGACTCCAAGCTCTCTGCGAAATCTGTTGTCTCCATCCCGTCAATTTGAGTGTAGTGATGGATGTGGGCCTATACAGGTGAAAACAACTTGAATGAAGAATACAATGTGATTTATATCTATCATAGTCAGAGGAACCATCAGGCTTACAATATATATACTCGGTGGTGATTACCTGGCTACTAGTGAGTGATTCCCTGGCTGGCTACAAGATGGTGATTACCTCACTACTAGGCAGTAACTATCTGGCTACTATGTAATGATTACCTGGCTACGAGGTGATGATTACGTAGCTACTAGATGGTAATTACCTGGCTATTAGATGGTGATTACCTGGCTATTAGATGGTGATTACCTGGCTACTAGACAGTGATTACCTGGCTATAAGATGGTGATTACATGGCTACTAGACAGTGATTACCTGGCTATTAGATGGTGATTACATGGCTACTAGACAGTGATTACCTGGCTATAAGATGGGGATTACATGGCTACTAGACAGTGATTACCTGGCTATTAGATGGTGATTACATGGCTACTAGACAGTGATTACCTGGCTATAAGATGGTGATTACATGGCTACTAGACAGTGATTACCTGGCTATTAGATGGTGATTACATGGCTACTAGACAATGACTATTAGCTAGTCATAACCTGGCTTCTCAGTGGTGATTCTATGTGAGTAGGTGAGACACTGAGACAGAACTCACCTTCCGTTTGTAGAGTTTGACAAATCTGTCCTTGAGGTCGGAGAATGTGTGTCGGACACAGGTGTTGTTGGCCAGGGTGAGGAGAGAGTAGGGTTGTCCCACTGGCGGCACGGAGCACAGACCCGTCTTCCAGCCCTCCTGGTTCCAGTGGATGAACTTGAGGTTTGGCTTCAGTCTGTCATATGTACACACAGTCAGTGAGCTTGTAACCTTTGTATTATTATGTCAAAGCAGGCTAGAATAGTTCAGTCAATACCTGTAACAGTATTTCAGTTACCATGGTTACATCGTCATCTCTGGACATAGCAAACATAATTATTATTATATTGAGTATTTTTTCACAACTCGCATTCTTATAGATCTACTATCTCTCATATTTATTCATTTTTAAAGCTATTTTTACATCAGAATAAATGGTTAATGTCTGGTAAATAACTGGTTAGTTTCCTGTAACCTGTGGACCAGAACAATTTAAAGGTTAACTCAAATTGTGCACATATTAAGAGGACAGGCTAAACAACCCTCCCCAGACAAACAAACATTAAAAGCAGTAAATTGTCAGTGATATCAAAAACAAATTATAGAAGGAATAACGGAGGAACTTCAGACATTACAAACTGAATATAAAGTCATGTGTATGTAAATGTGATAATAATTCCGGTAGTTGAAATTTCATGACATCCAACAAAAACTTGGAAACTTGTAACTGAGGAATCAACTGGTTGCAGAGATGATGACTATGTCATGCATATTGACAGCAGTATACAAAAGACCCTGGGTGACACACATTAGCCACATGTACCTGAGAGACAGTCACACATTAGCCACAAGTACCTGAGAGACAGTCACACGTTAGCCACAAGTACCTGGGAGACAGTCACACATTAGCCACAAGTACTTGGGAGACAGTCACACATTAGCCACAAGTACTTGGGAGACAGTCACACATTAGCCATAAGTACCTGGGAGACAGTCACACATTAGCCACAAGTACCTGGGAGACAGTCACACATTAGCCACATGTACCTGGGAGACAGTCACACATTAGCCACAAGCACCTGGGAGACAGTCACACATTAGCCACAAGTACCTGGGAGACAGTCACACATTAGCCACATGCACCTGGGAGACAGTCACACATTATCCACATGCACCTGGGAGACAGTCACACATTAGCCACAAGTACCTGGGAGATAGTCACACATTCGTCACCTGTACCTGGACCACAGTCACACATTAGCCACATGTACCTGGGAGACAGTCACACATTAGCCATATGTACCTGGAACACAGTCACACATTAGCAAAAGATACCTCGACAACAGTCACAGATTAGCCACAAGTACGTCGGAGACAGTCACACTTTAACAGCTGGTACCTGGTAAGTGTCACAGATTAAGAACAAGTACCTGTCGATGTTCCTCCTGATGTCGGAGATCTCGGCGTTGCCCCGGACCATCAGGGCACAGGCCAGGTACAGACTGTGCTTGGGATCTGCTCTCAGCAGCTGGTGGTCGCGGGAGAAGGCGTCGGAAAACATCTGGTCCAACCTATTGTGACGACATGCAAGAGTGAGTGTTGAAGCAAGGTAATCTCCAACAGTTAAGGAAAAACTGTGGATTTCAAATTCTTTGGTATGAGGCACATCTTCAGAAAGTAGCTGCCCACTGATGAGGCCAGGGTAGGCTGATCTGGTGACACTTATCTCTGAGCTGGTGTTTTGGGTTGAAGGCCAACATGAACAGTATTTCAGTTCAGTCCCAGGCTGTCACATGGAAGCAGTGTCCAAAATAACTGACTGTCCTCCTGCCTGTGGCTAGTAACTTTTCTGTCGGGCTGCATGAAATTTTCCTCCACCTGTCCAACCATCTGGCAGATAATTTTAAGACTACGTATGTATTTAGTTTTATTATAACTCCTTGCAGATTCTCAAGTAATTGTTTGCATTATTTCAACTGAATCAAGACGCAATTTGTGTCTTATTTTTTGTTGCAATTTTTCACTATTTATAATTTCTGATTGGGCGCTGGTAACTTTGAAGATGAGCAGGCAACACTAATGGGTCACCTGCCCGACTGTCTTTTGGGTCTTGAACTTATTTCAAACACTGTATGTGAGGAAAGGCACAGTGACCCAGTGATGACATGGTAACCACTTTGGTGAAACCGCCAGCACAGGGATGGAGCTGACAGACTTATTGAAGTTGAGCAAATCTGGGATTTCGACAAATGCTGTGTGTTAACATCCCAGGTTGAGACATTGGAACCGACTCTGCACAGACAAATGCTGTGTGTAAATATTCTAGGTTGAGACATTGGAACCGACTCAGCACAGACAAATGCTGTGTGTTAAATGTCTTAGGATATCCCGAACACCCATGTAACCATGGTAACACATGACTTGTGGTATGTGAAGCAGCCTTACCTCCTGGGTGGGAGATTGACGTCGGACATGGCGTACAGAGGGGACTGGCTGGACACCAAGTAGTGTAGTTGGGGAAACGGAACCAGATTCATGGTGATCTCATTCAAATCCACGTTCAGAGAGCCCTCAAACCTTGCTGAGCTAAAACCAGACATGAAAACTTTGCAAGGCACAGTCACATAAAAGATGACAGAGAACCTGCTTCAAATATAATACCCTGGCTGTTAAAAAAATGTCAGTGATTAGTGGTAGACTTGTGGCATACATGTTATATTCCACAGTTAAACAGATAGACTCTATGAATAATTTTACCACCGGAAAATAATCACATAAAACAACATTTGGAAAAGAAATCCTCGGTTTTTAATACATGTACAGTAGGGCTGGGACGAGTCCAAATTTAATATTACTACCTGGGTACCCAAGCCACTATTAACCGACCCTACCCGGGTACCCACTGTAGGTCTCAAGGGATAGGTACAAAATGTCCGATTGGCCAAACGTATTTAGATACATGTATTAAACGATCTGGTTATGCATAAACTGGAGTTAACTTAAGTCATATCTTTATTCAACCCTTAGAAATGTCAGAAAAAATGGGTGCAATGTCAGAAAGAAATGCAACCATTAGTGACTTATAGAGTTCTAGATAACGGGTCCGGGTAGTCCTGAGGGTCCCCGGGTCCTACTCAGTACCCACACGACCTGGGTACCTGAGTTATCCGTCCCAGCCCTAATGTACAGTAGATGTATTATTTTTGTTTTTCATGACTGTCAGATTTCTGATATTTGTCATTCATCCTCACCACAAAGACACTAATATAAAAAGCTGCATCAAATAATATGTCACATGTTTCCACTTTTCGGATGCAGATAAACAAAGGTCACATTGTTCTGCCATCTAATGTACCTCGTCATGTTGAGGAGTAGGTTGGCAACCAGATTGTTCATGCCGTCAAATGGTTTCTCTTCTGCAGGGGAGGTAACTCCTCCCTGACTACTTGTAATGGCACTGCCTGACTTGACTCCAGTGGTAGAGTAGGTTCTCTTCCCCGTCTTCATGGAGGGCACAGCTTGGGAAATCTTGTTGACAATCTCAACCAGTGCCTGTAACAGCACACAAACCTCAGTGAGGTGCCATATATGCTGACTCTCCACAAACACTACAATAGTACATGTTATATGGAACAGTGTGGTAGCCTACCACTTGCTTGTCACGCTGAAGGCCCGAGTTTGATTCCCCACATGGGTACAATGTGTAAACCAATTGCTGGTATCCCTCCTTGATACTTTTGGCACATTGCTAAAATATGGCGTAAATCACTATGCAGTCATTCAGAGGGACTGTTTTCACGGATAACTACAGAACCAAAAAGACCCTACAAATTATTTGTGTGTTTTTCATCACCCTCCCCATAAATTGTTACCTGATTCTCAACGGGCAGCACGCAGTCCGCATGTTCAGTCAGTTCTCGCATGGCCAGAACACTGTTGTAAGGGGAGGTAATCACGTCATCCTCCACTGAAGGGTACACTGCTGTCACAAATCTACAAACAAATCTCACACAATGGCTTTGTCCAAGTGATCACGAACATGGACATCTGTTGCTCTGTATTGAAACTATTTTACTTTTTCTGAGATAAATTAAATCATTTACTTTCTACACATTCCTATCTGCCCAAATGAAAAAGGAAGGGTCACTGTCCATTCTATTTGGCTCGGCGCTCTATCATAGCAAATTCACATTTTACCTCAGAAATATATAGGGAAAGATTCCCCATGAAAACAGTTTTCCATTGAAATATCATTGTCACAAAATAGTACTTAGATATCTTAGTTTTAAACATGGTTATCTGGTTATAAAAATGTGTTCATTGTTAATCTGGATTTATGTTTGAAATATATTTTATTAATTTTATTCAAAATTTCATTCAATATTGTTTACATTAATTTTGGCAAAATCGTGTGTGAAGTGATCGGTAGATCGCACAACTCATCGTTATTTACAGCAACCGCGGTCAGATTACCGCTATTGACGCCTTGAAACATACATTAGTTGCCAGAGAATGGATACATATATCATAAATGAAATACTTTGACTTGTTATTTGGATGTATATGTATATGTATATGTATATGTATATGTATATGTATAAGGTTGATGACATCACAGAATGCTGATCTCATGCGATAAGGTAACAATACTCACTTTAATGTAACTGAATACTACTTAGAGAAACTGGAAACACGGCATGATTGTGTTTGGAATGTGCCACACCCCAAATCTCATTTTTAAAGGGGGATTTGTTATAAAACTAGGGTGCCTATGATATTGACAATGACAAAAAGCAGGTGGAGCAGGTGGGCAAGCTGTTGTTTCACATCCTCATTGGTCCTCCCCTCACCTGTAAACGTCAGGATACTCCTCTTCCAGTAAATTCAAGATGGAAGTGCCCACACCAGAACCTGTGCCTGAAACAAAAAGAACAAAGAATTGATACTATTTACGAAAAAAACATTATGAAAACTGTGTTTATAGTTTAATATCATAACATGATGCTTTTTATATATTTTGCTCCTGTACTTATATTTTTCAAATTTACAATCTAACTAGAAATGTAAAATGGTTAATTATGGACGTCATTTACAGAGCAACAGGTTTGTGTAACCTTTCTAACATAAGTGTTTTTGTGTGTGAGTCTACACTGTACTGAACCCCCAACACACTACCCTCATCCTCCACACAATGTGTGAACTTCCTACCTCTTACAAGTGGCAAGACAACATATTTTCTATTTTTACTTTTACACAGTTGTTACCACTACCAGCAAGAATGTTAACTGATTATTAAAATCCAGTGCCTCAGGTAGATGACTTGTTGGCAAACAACTTTGGGGAGGTCGAAACAAAAATAAATTTATGAAGGTCAAAATATTTTTTGTTGTTGTCTTATTTAGTTGTGGTCGGTTGATGTATTTCGGAAAAAATAAACGACAAACCATTATTATTGTATTCAGGAAGTTTACTTATTTTAAAGTAGAAGAACATATGTTTTCCGCTTTTGATACCACAACGTACGTTTCTGAAGTAACTAGATCTAATCATTGAAAAAATCTCCATGCTCCTTATGACTTCCAAAAGCTGCACGTTTGTCTTTGATAACAAGGCTATTACTAAGACCGACAAATATATATAATCAGCAGTAACCAATCATTCTAATCATCGTTATCCTGGATCATGTGGAGTGGATGAGATATGGGCACATTGTCATGATCAGCTGATTACCTAAAAGTAAATGAAATCTACGCCTCAGTTGTGCGGCGAGTTCAAGTAATAATGCCATTCGCTCGTGATAACACATCTTGTAGTTGTATTGATATGGTAGATCAAAGACGTATGGTAGATCAAAGACGTATATAGATTGTATATACGACCGTGGGTAGATCGAACTGTTTCTGGTTGTGTATGAACGTGATGCACTTATTTAAATTCTTAACAATTTGGAAATGATGCGATGTAATATTTGTGATAAACATCTTATGTTTGTTCGACACACGTTCGCTGTTGACAGCAGCTGAGTGCTGATCACAACTCAACATCACGCGAGAGTAGGAGGGTCGACTATTTTTAGAAGGGCACGTGTCCAATGACGCCAAAGGTAATACATCTATATTTAGATGGCTCTTCCATAAATATAGTTGCAACGTTCACAATCACACCAGTGTACATTACGTAGTATTGTGGAAAGCTGCCCCTACATAACTATTATAATTTGTGCTGAAGGAAAGAAAGAGTCTTTGACATTGACTAATATAGTGTTTGAAACTAAGAAGAAAAAAAGGCGCGGATAGAAATAACGCGATGACCAAGGGGTCGGTTCGTTTGACGGAAGACCGGGAAATACCCAAACATCAGGCGCGAAGCAAGATGTCGTCCATGGGATCAATGTTTCTGCGTTCAAAAATTGAAGCAGATCACTTGACATGTTCGATATGTTTCAACAATTTCACTCGACCGAAAGCACTACCATGTATCCATACTTTCTGCGAAGACTGCCTGCGTGAGTATGTCGTAAGTCGAGGCTATGAATCTATTGGACGTTTTCCATGCCCAATGTGTCGTAACGACGTGCAGATGCCGGCGGGGGGTGTCCAATGCTTTCCGGACAATCACCTGGTTACCAGCCTGTCTGATACCGTAGATTCTTCAAAACAGCGCCCTCCTTTGCCCCCTCGACCTTATTTCGACAATGCCAACAATAACTACCCGACGACAACAGCCGGGGTGGATCCAGCGATCCAGATGCCAGAATACCCACCCACACAGTCCAACATCTACCCCCAGCTCCCAAGACTTGAAGATATGCCGAAACCAGAGATGCCTCGGCCCAAGCCCATTGCCTGCAGTACTGGACTTATTCAGAGATTTGGGAAATATGGACCTGGGTTGGTTGATTTCCACAAACCAGTTGGACTGGCTGTTGGAAGGAATGGTGAAATTGTTGTGTCTGACCATGGAGGGTACAGGATTCTCATCTTTAACAGTGGAGGAGAGCTTGTGAGGAAGTTCGGCTGTGAGTGTATCATAAATGATGTGTCTGTCACAACTGAAAACACCATTCTTGTCAGTGTCAAGTCAAAGTCTTCCATCATGAGAAAGTACACAATGGAAGGCCGTCTTCTCGGTGAATATGGCTCCCACTACCGCTATGAAGACGCTCATGGAATTGCGGCAATGTCCACGGGTCATGTTGTAGTGTCCGGTCTCCAGAACAAGTGCGTTTACATCTTCACAGAGCAGTACAAGTTTTCTGTCAAGTTCGGCCGTAAGGGATCAGGGGATGAACATTTCCTCACCCCCTACTATGTAACGACCAACTGCAAGAACAACATCGTGGTGACGGATAGCGAGAACCACTGTGTCCAGGTCTACAGCAATGCTGGAAAGTTTAAGTACAGGTTCGGAGGCAAGGGGAGTGACCATGGTCAGCTTCAGAACCCTCTTGGAGTGTGTAGCGACTGTGAAAACAATATCATTGTAGCTGACAGTGGCAACCATCGTGTCGAAATGTTCACATCCAAAGGGAAACACATGGAATGTATTGTGAAGAATACCTTGGATATCGGCCCTGGCGTCACACCTACCCTCGTTGGTGTGACATCGAGGAACAATATTGTGGTTCTCTTGCGAGGTACCCAGTTTGTGGAGGTCAGGATCTACATGTGCACGGGTACCTCCATGTCCCAGATGAGGTCCTGTATGAACTAACTGCAGGGTTCGACAAATCTGAGTAAACTTCAGTCAGGACCAGTAGTTTTTAATTCTGGTGGTCCAACTGGCAAGTGTGACAAGTGGAAAAAATAAAACATAAGTCTCCCATGTTTTCTTTACCTTTAGTAGAATGGAGGTCAGACACTGGAGAAATCTTTGTGATATAAAAATGTTCATAAATAGTGATATTGTTTAAAAACATTATTCTGCAATTATCTTGCAAAATTTGCTGGATATATTTTGTTTGTAACCGTTGGGCGCCTTGGAAATATCAAATCTGTCAAACTGTGAACTGTCAACTTCATTCATCTACTTGTGTGCAATACTGCTTGTAGTGAATACATGTAACTTCTCCGTCCCATTATCCTTGTGTATGCCACTGAAGAGACTTCCATCTATTTGCTATGTATCTTATTAGTTATTTACAGTGCTTGGGATGATTTGAATTTGCATAGGTCAACCATATCAAGAGACCAATTTGAAAGAGGCAATTTTCAGGAAAATGACAGAGCTTGGATACAGAAATACACTCCCTACGGACCCATACTGCAATTATTATATGAATGGAGCATCTAAAGCACTGAATAAGATGTAATGTATTGCTGGTAATATCAATAGATTTGGTATGATGGCAATATGTTTGACTTTGACCATGGTGACCTTGTGCCTGTGTCCAGTTCTTGTCTGGGCCCACTTGCACAAAGCGATCTTAGCGCTCAGACTATCGTAAGCCTATGTTAAAGTATGGTTGTTACGATCATTGTAGAGCTGAGATCACTTTGTGCAAGTGGGCCCTGGACCCATCTGATGCTGAGTTTTGCCCATCTGATGCTGACTGATCATAGTACCGCAAAAACAAGTTTAAAGGAAGAGCAAAGTATACTACTCAAAAGAAGTTAAAGAACACACATTTTTATGACTATCATGCAACAGATTAACCATAGTACTGAAAGATTTCGGTGTTCTTTAACTTATTTTGAGTAGTATACATAGGTTAATGTTAACATGGTATTAACATGGAAGGTGGCAAAACCACTGGAAATATTTGATCATCTTAACCTTAACATCATTACATAGTTATTTGAGTTAATGATACTGTAAGTTCATTTCTAGCATTTAAACTGAAAAGTAATTTGTTATCATGGTTACCGTATTCGACGTAATAAGCGCCCCGCTCTAATAAGCGCCCACGGCGATATTGGCTAGTGAACAATCCAAATTAGCACCCCTTCCGATTGATCAATGTACACAAGACTTATTTATTCGCGTATAATACGCACTTGTGTGTTATATGCACCCTTAATTATGGGCAATTAAATTCTGGAAAAATATATCTGTCGCATATTACATTTCAGTCTGTCAGCATAAACCACGAAATTTATCTTTCAACTCTGTTTTTTCCACCAAAATAATATTCTAATAAGAGCCCCCTATTTCTAATTTTGAGAGCGCCCTGGGCGCTTGTTACGTCGAATACAGTATATCTTATACAAGGCAAACTAATTGCTTCCCACTTAGTACAATTCCATTCAGACCACTTCAGCATTGTCCAGTGTGGTGGCAGGACTTCAGGGATGCATCAGCAGATATTCCACATAGCAATGTTCAGCTTCCTTGTCTTCATACTCTGCTTTAGTCATGTTAATATGAAGACATGGTCTCCCTCTATTTTCTGATATGTTTATTGGAAGAACATGTTTATTGTGATCAGAGAGTGTTGTGAGTTTAATATCACCAAGTACTGTCCAGCTATATCAGCGGACTAGTTAGCATGGTCAGCGGCGCTAGATGTAGTGCTTCCTTGTATATATGTACAGCATTCATACAGAAGCCAGTGCATAGATGTATTGTACAGATATGATGTACAGATGCAGGGATTTATTAGGACTCTAAACTAAGTGCCCTTGGCAGGCAAATTCGAAAAAAAAAGCGTGATATTATTTAAAATGTGATCTTTTTATGTTCTTATTTTCATAAAATCTGAGGAATTTGGAAGTTTTCAATTCAGTTTGGGAATTTCTACTATCATTTGCAGCAGACCTAGGGACGAATATCGGCCTCTGAGCAGGTCTAGATAAATCGCTGAGATGTGTCTAGTGTGTCACGTCAGTCCATGGCTAGTGACATTTCCAACAGGCTAGTCAGGCTTATGGAATGTAGACATGTTTTTCATTTATTGTGAAAAGTGAACACCATGCATGGGATGACCCAATATGTATGACAAGTAGTTTGCCTTTGTAAGGCAATTTGCGAATGTAGACAGTAGCAATGATTACAGGTGACAACACCACTGCAATAATTATTACCTGCAATAATTTGAGCACTCATTTATTATCGCATTGGGGTCACAACACAGATCCTTCATCCCTGGATGAGAGACCTTCTTGTTCCAGTTTTGAAAAGCAATTATGGGAAATTCACCACACTGTATTCTGCAGAGCTCCAGATAAGCTTTTGGTGTTGTGGGTATTTTATCCATGCATTTTAAAATCATTGGGTATCAGTAATTCTATCTGGGTATTCAAATTTCTGTTACCCACTAGTTTTTACACATGTGGGTATTTAAGTTAAATATTTAAAAACACTATTCATCAAGTCCCTGCAAACTGGTGTCGTGTGGTTTCGAGAGCTTTATAGGACTAAAAATTATAGGACTAAAAAATACCACGATACTTCCACGAGAAAGTGTGATGGCAAATGATCATGATGTAACTGTCATTGTGGAGTTTGGCAGGGTTGACGGAATGCCCGGTAATAATTTCAAAATAAGTTGCGGATTTGCTAATTTAATACGTAGGGTTACTTCACAATATTTTGATGATATGCACAAGTTTTATTTTTGTAGCGTATCTGTAATGTTCGTTGCGTATTTGATACGCTTGGAATTTATTTTACTGCGTATTTCTGCATGTCTGATGCGTATTTTACGCAGATACGCAGCTTATCTGGAGCTCTGATTCTGTGAATACCAAGAACAGGGTTGGTAAATGTCTCTGACTGATTGTGTATCTATGGCTCTTTAAGCTGAGTTTGTATGCTTATATCACCATTCCATCCCTCTGCCAGTGCCTCATAAGCTGTACCTATTCCAATATCTATATTTACTGATAACTGATTTATAGTCTTATGAAGTGCATACATATTTTTTTATTGTTTAATTTTTGAATGATGATAATGGCATATTATCCATGATTATATGATTATTAGAATTAGATTTATTTTTGGTCGTGTTTATCCCTGATATATTTATATCAAGTTCTCTGAAAGTTGAGCAACACGTTCTACTCTGCAAGCTGCAAACACCTTGGCATTGATCGTTGATGGACATTATTTCTAACAAGTTCTTAGTCTGCACGTTTTGATGCGGGCACTAGACCACTAGTAAAACTATGGAATAACTCATTTGCTCTCCAACATGGACCAGCTAAGAACTAGTTCCTATAAGAGCTGTGGACTAGTCATTCTACGGTTTTAACTTAACACTAGCCTGCAGGCTAGTACAAATTTCCAAACTGTTTTAATATTAAAAAAACCTTTGAGTTAAGCTCTAAAGATTCCTCTATTATCCAGTGCATCATATCTCCACACTATCATGATATACCATGCTCCGATGGAGAAAGCTTCGACTGCTGATGAGGATGGTTAGAAGGATAAAAAGATAATACTTGTAATACTGGTAACCCAGGAAACCAATTATTTCCCTTGTGCTATTCTATCATATCTGCAGCTTATCTTTTATATACCTGTTCAGGGAGCCTACCATGGAACACAAGTATTATTTATGTTGACCTTGCTCTTCAACTACTCCAGTATTACAAATAGCAGCTTGACAATGCCCAATTATAACCATATTACAGCGTTCCCGTTTACCGGTAATTACCAGTTTTTTACTGGTAAAATTAGGCTTGGACCGGTAATTCATGTGACTGCCAGTCCCTGTGGACCGGCAAATTAAGTACCTTATAAATGTTTGTTGAACAAAACATCGGTGATATTCATATAAGTACATTTTGAAAACAAAGTCAACTTGTCTGTTACCATAAGGGTTTCCCCTGGTCTATTTCTAGGTTAAATATCCATTTGTAGCGACTTCGTCTCGAAATATTAAAAAAAAAGAGAGAGAAAATTGTGACTGAAGTTTGTGTGAATGACATAGCTAAGTTACTTCAGAGATGACATCTTTGCACTGAACATGATGTTGAAAGAATTAAAACTAAACAATTTTCATACATTTTTTGATTTGTTGAAAGTTGGGACTGGCAAAAGTTAGGGGGACTGGTAATTTTTAGAGTTGCCTGTCCACAAGGACTGGCAGTTTCAAAAGCCAGGGGGAACACTGTATTCATTCATGCACCATTCAGGTCATCTGTATCACAAGCTATAGATAGGATCGTAAGACAATCCTAATTAACCTATTGCAGATTATATGCGGTGGGTTTGTTGTGAGTGCAGTTTGTTTACAAATATCTTATTGGTTGTTCTGATTTGTTGTATCAGCTTGTCGAGGGACCAGGAGTTCTCAGATAGAGCTCTAGTCAGTTGGAATTAGTATATTTTCACATATATCCTTCTTTAGGTGATTAATTGAACCGTATTCATCTTGCAAACACAAACAGATGTACAATACACAAGCAAGAAATAGATAAATGCTCTTATAGGAATTTGGTTTCAAACAAAAGCCATGGAGAATGCTGACAACACAATACATTTCAAACCAATGTATGTTGATATCCTTTTCAATGAAATTTAATCAATGTTTAGTGATGTAAATATATCTATTCTTATCAATGTGTTTTTTATTAGCAGAACTTGCTTTTCTTGTGATGGTGTTTTTGTGTATATTTGATTTACTGCTTTCTTATTACAAGTTAATTTATTAAGTTGCTTTGTGTATATTGTGTGTAATCACATGTACGAGTTAATGATATGAAATCGGTACTTCATTCCATATCATACATGCTGTATCTGTATATTGTACCACTCTTCTGTGTTATAACATACTCATCTTCCCGAGGCAATTATTTACTGACTATAAATGTCCAGTTTCCACCCTTGCAGAACTAGGCTAGAATTATGGAGTTATATTTTGGCTGGACAAACGCGTCTATGTATAGTCCAATCAAATTCACATAACGTAATCGACATCGGTTCATAAACTGCCATGCAGATTTTGGTGGATTGCAGGATTTTCAAAGCATGTGTACCGACAACTTACTGTCTACAGATATTTTCCAAATCTGTTCATGTTTTTAATCAAGGTGCTTTCATGATTTGATGCATTTCGCGAATTAAGACTCTTTTTGTCACAATATAGATATGTATTATTGATCAGAATGTCTTCACTGGGCAACGCCATTTCATTTGAAGCAAATGCAAGTGATTTGACAGGTGGAATCTGATTGGTTAATAGGAGGGACATAGAAGGGGCATAACTCATAATAGCCTATAATGAGCCCAGAAATTCCAGCAGAGTTCCACAAGGGTGGAAACTGGACTTTTGATTAAGTTTAGTTCAGTCAACTCCCTTGTCTCGGGAAGACATACTGTAACATACTGATACTGTACATCCACTTAGTGGTCTGTAAGTTGTACATATACCATAAAAACTACTAACCTGTTATTTACCGGTACAAGAGAGAACTTTTCATCTGTCTCACAATCTATATCTCCACCTTCAGCAATATTACATATGTTGTGCAAGTAGGCATGAATATTTTGAAAATTAGACCAGTAACCATGGCAACTTCTAAAGCTTGGTCACTTGTTTGATTTTATCTCCAACTTTGTATCCAAGCTATGACCAACCATGATATAAAACACAAAGTCATTGACAGGGCCCTAGTCTGCTAGTTGTACAACTAGAGCATGAAGAAGAGTATTGATGACTAATAGATATATAAGACAGAAGTTATAGTGCAATATATATTGTGGCCTGGTGGAATTTTCGTTATAGTGTCGACCCCTAATTGCAGATCCGTCACTCATTGGAACATTACTAGATGTCTGCCCCAAGTCATCAACCACCCACTCTATCATGGATCTTGGGCAATTGGAATATGAAAACAAGAGAAATATATATTTTAGGACTGTGTAAAACTGCAAGTTTCACAGCACAGTTTAGGATATTTATGTAACAAAGCCGATAGCTACATATTGAGATTAGTGGACTAATGGATGTCCCCCCCCTGGATGACAAAAGAATCATTACAGACTGTGTTGTGAATACCATACTTGCTACTGGTAGCGGATTTCCATACATCATGTTATTGTTGACATTGTTAATAACAGAAGACTTCTGTGACTTGTTCCCCACAACTCAATTTGTTCCTATGGCGACCTTAATTTTGGAAATCTATCAGTAATATGTCCTGTACTTTGTGTTGGAGGGTCTTTCATTCCCTGTTTTCCCATATTACAGTCCAGGCTGTCAGCCATGTAACAAATGTCTACACATGGCCTTCAGATAGACAACCCTGGTGAAAGTATCAACTGTACATGTCTACATATCTCCTGCAAACTGCAGGGTTTCAGACTAGTTGGTTGGTTGGTTTGTTGTTTTACGCCGCACTCAGCAATATTCCAGCGATATGACGGTGGTCTGTAAATAATCAAGTCTGGACCAGACAATCCAGTGATTGATATCATGAGCATCGATCCACGCAATTGGGATCGATGACATGCAGCAACCAAGTCATCGAGCATGACCACCCGTTCCCGTTAGTCGCCTCTTACGACAAGCAAAGTCACCTTTTACAGCATGGATGGGTTGCTGAAGACCTATTCTATCCCGAATCTTCACGGGTCTTTCAGACTGGTTCATTTCTTGGACATTGACTGATTGCTATCCAAAATGTCCTGGAGATATTTTTCAATTATGGTGATGGCTTAGAAAATGTCCTATGACAGATTTCTAAAATCATGAACATGTCCTTATGACTCTCTAGCAAGATAACTGAAACTGTGACACTCGGACATTACCAATGTCATTGTATAAGTTTTAGATTATACATATTATTCATAATGACCTACGCTTGAGAGGATGAGCACTGTGTATCAGCTTAATTAAAACCTAAGAATGTTTGGAAATTGAGATGTAGCATATTTGTCCATATATTTTTTAACTGATTTATTTGTGTGTTATAACAAATTTTGTTGTTGGAATTTCTCGTGATATTAGTTTTGATATTCAATAAAAACAATTTTTGAATAATCAAATTGTCTTGTCCTTGAAAATTGGTTACAGAGCACTGCCATAATTGCAAAGGAAAGCAGACAATGACATTCTCACAACGATTGTGAACATTTATTGCATTCTAGGAATCTACTAACACAAAGGGGGGCACAGGTGGCCCAGTCGTCTTAGGCGCCATGATTCGCTGTGCAGAGTTGCATCCCTTGGGCACACCAGAAACCTATGATTGTGGGTTCGAATAGCGGTTTGCCCTGATTATGTTTCTAGGTTTGTCAGCACCATGCCCGTGCTCGTGGGTTTCACCGAAGTGGTAAACGTCTGAGACCTGCATCACTTCGGGCTTTCCTCCGACATTAAGCTGACACTCCGTGATATGACTCGAATACTGTTATAAGCGGCGTAAAACCCAACTCAATCACTACTAACACAAAGATACCACAGCAAAACGGCTGTGTCCACATTCAGCAATAATTGACAACACACTTAAAGAGAAAATGCAATGGTTATAGATGACAGGAGAACCCTGTTTTCGAACAGCCATACCGTAAATAACGTAATAAGCGGCGAGGGAGCTCTCAAAATTAGAAATAGGGGGATATTATTAGAATATTATTTTGCTAATATATTGGCTCGTGAACAATCCCAATTAGCACCCCTTCCAATTGATCAATGTACATTAGACTTATTTATTCGCGTATAATACGCACTCGTGTGTTATATGCACCCTTAATTATGGGCAATTACATTTTGGAAAAATATATCTGTCGTATATAAACATTTCAGGCTGTCAGCATAAACCATGAAATTTATCTTTCAACTTTGTTTTTTTCATCAAAGTAATATTCTAATAAGTGCTCCTTATAACTAATTTTGAGTGCGCCCTGGGCGCTTATTACGTTGAATACGGTACTTGACAAACATTCTTACTTTGTGAAGAGGTTTCAAACTTTAAAAGTTTTAATGCTGGGCTGCAAGAATACTACATTGATGACTGCACCATACACGGCTATTCATTCATGAAAACCCTGCTAGTTTGTTTAACACCGCACTCAGCAATATTTCCAGCTATATGACGGCGGTCTGTAAATAATTGAATCTGGACCAGACAATCCAGTGACTGACATCATGAGCTTTGATCCACACAATTGGGATTGATGGCATGCATCAACCAAATCAGTGAGCCTGACTACCCGATCCAGTTAGTAGCCTCTTACGACAAACATAGTCGCCTTTTACGGCAAGCATTGGTTGCTGAAGACCTAATCTACCCCGGATCTTCACAGGTTACTCTGCTAAAGTAACAACCATTCAAGTGTTAGTAAAGAGGTGACGTCATTTGAGTTCAGCAAACGTTTACAGACCCGCAATTGAGGTCGCACATTTTGTTGATTCCAAATTGGTAAACAGCTGGATGTTATTGTTTAAGACATTGCCTGGTACAAACAAAGTTACGTTCTGATTCATTTATCCTAACTTTGCCTGAACTGTTTGAAAACAGGGTATACGAGGATACATGAAAGACATTCTACAGGTACATTCTTGTTTGAAAGCTTGCATCAGTTGTCCCCTCTGTAAATGGTCCTTTTTTATCTGCTGTCTAAGTTACCCACTGTCTGCAATACAATTAATGATACTGTGCCAGTGATACACATGAGAATCAAACCCAGTCTGCCCCGACATGGGATGTGCTACTCACCGCCTCCCATTGAGTGCAGGACAAAGAAGCACTGAAGACAGTCACAGTATTCAGCAGCACGGCGGATTGTCTCGCTAAGTTGTTCTCGATACTGCACACCATACATCTTATGGCCAACTGCCCTGAAACGAAATCAGATTTAGTTGAAATTTTACTTTTCTCTCGAGTTGAAAGAAACATTAGTGCTTTCATTGGATGTTCTTTCTATTTTACCAGGTATATCATTATTTGGTCGTCAAACATCAGAAGATGGGTTAAATTTATAAAGATGATAGTCCACAAAAATAAAACGTGAAATTAATGCGTCTCAAAAAGAATGCGACCGCTGGCCCCTAGCCAAAAATGTGACTCAATATGAATGCAACACCCCCTCCTCTCAAGCATCAGTGGATTTATATCTAAACAAAATGTCCTCTGTCAAGTTTACAGGAGAATCCTCACCTTAATCCAACCTTACATTAATCCAATCACACACCAAATAGCACCGCTTATTAGCGCTGAGTAGAGTACTTCAGCTAAAACAATACATGCACACTGGCTCGTGACGGCCTTTGATGCAGTCGCAAAGAACAAAGACACCGTGTTGTGTGGGGTCTGTCTGGTCTTGCAGGTGTGATCAGTGATGACATGTGTGAGTAGAACGCTTGTCTTGACCCCAGCAGTGACAATTCACAGGATGAAATTAGTGTTTGAATGACATTGTTTATATACTTGTAACAAGTGCTGCTCAATAAACAGTGATGTGGAATACATAGTTGTTTGTTTTCAGCGTATGTCTAAGTTGGTATTTCTGCTATCCAAAATGTCTTATTGTTGATATAAATGCGATGTTTAATAATGCGAGCAAAGACCACTCGCATTTTTCGCATTTAATTCACGCTTGCGTTAAGATCAAGATTTACAGTATTTACTGGACCCTAAAACATGAAATTAAATTTGCTATATGTAAACTTATTTCACCGACAGAAAAAGAAGCAGAGGCTTTCTGATCATAATCAATCTTGTATCACGTAACCATGGTAACAGTAGGAACCATTTTCCACATCTTAACAGTGTTTAAAATGCCTGCTTGCCCAACAGTCTGAGACAGATTGTTTTTGTCTTGGATGTGCAACTCTTAAAACAGGCACGTCTGATGGTCAAGCTGATTCATTTTTAATATAAAAGAGTAAGAACTGATATCGACAGTGGATTTAAATAATGATCTGATATGTTAACATATCGTAGGCTACTTGCAATAATTATTCCACATTGATAACGATGCATGATCAGCTGGTGATACTTGACAGTGTTATTGACATTAGCTATTATTGTTCAGTCTGGTGTAAAATAATCTGCACTTGCAAGTTATTAGGCTTGCCAGTCCAGCTATCTGGGTGGAATTAAAGTTTTGTTTGTTTGTTTGTTGTTTAACGCCGCACTCAGCAATATTCCAGCTATATGACGGCAGTCTGTAAATAATCGAGTCTGGAACAGACAATCCAGTGATTGATATCATGAGCATAGATTCACGCAATTGGGATCGATGACATGCAGCAACCAAGTCATCGAGCATGACCACCCGCTCCCTTTAGTCGCCTCTTACAACAAGCAAAGTCACCTTTTACAGCATGGATGGGTTGCTGAAGACCTATTCTATCCCGAATCTTCACGGGTCTTTCAGACTGGCGAGCCTGACCATCCAATCCTGTTAGTCGCCTCTTACGACAAGCATAGTCGCCTTTAACGACAAGCATTGGTTGCTGAAGAGCTATTCTATCCTGGATATTCACGGGTAGGAATTTAAGTGAAATGTTAAACAATGGTCCTAATCTTACTTGTGAGCATCTCATGTTACATACCAGTTATTGCCACATCCTGATACATCAGTAATGAGCTGCTGGTAGTCAAACACTTCACGGAGCGGCCCCTTTGTCAACTCACTGACCACGCCCTCCTCCATGTCCACCAGCACAGCCTGTTGTAACCATGGCAACAACATACATGTTGATCACTAAACTCTTGCGTTGAACACAACTCTAGTGGTAATCTGATAAGCTGGAACTGGACTTTCCGATAAATAATAACAGCAGAGTTATAGGTTAATCATGTCTTTGAAATGAAACGTGAAAGCTTAAATGCTTAACAAAAAGTATTAAAATTAATGTTTTATAGTTTTCAGGACATGAAAATATAATGGTTAGACCGTAATGTAAGATTCTGTGACATATTCAAGATAATTTTGATATTACCTAACAGGGCGTAATCTAAAATTTGGTAAACATACGGGTAATTACCCCAGTAACAGCTGAAGCAAAGAGACTAAAACATATACCCTTGCTTTGAGGGATCTAATCTTCCCCTTGCCATCCCCCACTGGGATGTCGGATGTGTCGTCATAACGGCTATCAACGTTCCGGAAGAAGCTGCTAAGTGGCTCATCGTACATTCCGGTCTGAAAATTAAGGAAAGCTGGTCAGTATAGCCAAAGAAATCCCACATGTATTGACTGGTCAGTGTATAGCCATGGAAATCCCACATATATTGACTGGTCAGTGTATAGCCATGGAAATTACACATGTATTGACTGGTCAGTGTATAGCCAAAGAAATCCCACATGTATTGACTGGTCAGTATAGCCAAAGAAATCCCACATGTATTGACTGGTCAGTGTATAGCCAAAGAAATCCCACACGTATTGACTGGTCAGTGTATAGCCAAAGAAATCCCACATGTATTGACTGGTCAGTATAGCCATGGAAATTACACATGTATTGACTGGTCGGTGTATAGCTAAAGAAATCCCACATATATTGATTGGTCGGTGTATAGCTAAAGAAATCCCACACATATTGACTGGTCAGTATAGCCAAAGAAATCCCACATGTATTCATGTGGTCAGTATAGCCATGGAAATTACACACGTATTGACTGGTCAGTGTATAGCCACAGAAATCCCACATGTATTGACTGGTCAGTATAGCCATGGAAATTACACATGTAGTCACACATACACATTGTTAGACATCATGGAGGATCCCCCTTTATAAAAAAAGCTGCAATGTTAGAAGGGTCAAATGTAAAAACATTGGTATTTAGTTAAAACAGTTACCAAACTGTCCAGTCATCATATCTCTTATTGATGAGACACATGTGGAGGACTGGAGACGGAGGTGTCTCTTAATTAATTTCATCCTTGTCACATTAATAATGTTGACATTTTTTCTGCATAAATCATGTACATTGTTAAATTAATTTAAATGAGACATTATTGAAATGTTTTGTTTTTTTAAATATTTGATCTGTTCTGACCATTACCCTTTAAAGATTATAGGAATCATTGACATGAGGATAATGAGCCTGTATTCACTAGGAAACATAAACAATCTGAAATCCTGTAATTCAACATGTTCCACCTTGTTCACTGCTGCATGCTCTCGTAAAGCCAGGTCCCAGAAACGGCATCCAATTTGATTCCCACATTGCCCAACTGGAATGAAGAGTAGCATTTCCGGTAACTACAAGCAGGTACATGTATACAGTGTATCAAGTAGATCTAGTGCGGCAAAATTAACACATGTATACAATCGTCTTTTGGGGCAGGAGTGTGATCATAGGAGAACTGGGGCATGACTTTCACCCCCCTGTCAGTGTCATCTAAAGTGCAATATTCTTCAATGTACATGTCAATTAAATAACAATTGTCTTGAGCAACTGAGTGACAGGAGACGGGGAAATCTGGAAGAACAATGTATTATCATGTTTGGTGGGTGCTTGCTGAAATTAACTTTGGTATTACAAAGAGGTAAAAGAGTTGTACACCCTGTGAGGTGTTGCTGGCTGAAATGTCTGTAAGAAATGCTTCCCAAGCAAAGCAGATATCTGATCATAGTGCACTACTTTTGAGATTGACTCATCGACATAGTTACTTGGAATACAGAAACAAATTCTACCTTGAATAACTATCGACTGTGTCATTCTGAGATTAATCGATTTGCGACAACATCAGTTGTTTGCAGAGTAAATCGGAAAATATCAACTGCAAACTTCACGTGTTTTGTTTACGACAGCCATATTGGTAGTATTAGGAGACAGATAAGGGGAGGCAACTCTAAATAATAGCTCAAATATTCTTTATCGTTTTGTTCACGAAGTGATACCGCGTTGAAGTGAGATCGAATCTCTTGGGAGGCAGGCATGGCACATGTCTTGTGATTATCGACTTTAATTGAATGTGGTTGGACATTGTCTACACTATTTTTTCAGAATATTTCTGTTATTACTCGAGCTCCACGTCCACTGGTTGGCAGTCGCACAATCACACCGCTATGTGGATAACGGGAGTCAAGTCTTGATCTACGGTAGGTCCTTTCACGGTGAGGTTTCGGCTTTCTGACACAGATGCTTTACGTTGTGAACCTCATAAGAACACAACGTATTATACATGGAATAACATGATCATCAAACATTTTCCTCTCTTTGGTGATGTTAATCCCCCGTCACATGATCACCACGTGGACCCCGTTGCGAATACACGGTCTGAATTTTGCTTTATGTAAAACAAGTGTATAAGCAGTCGTGTATCCCTGTACGTACAGGAGAAAGTCCTTAATCTCGCGACTCTGTCAGTGCATTACAAGCAATTCGGGTAGGTTCTTCCTCAGCGAGGCAGGACTTGATCAACATTATTCTCGTCCTTTATAACGACTTAAGTAAAGATCTGTTAGATGTTAAATTTTCATGGATCCCTGCTCATGTTGGATTACTTGGAAATGAGAAACTGATAAATTGGCAAAAGCTGCATTAGAATTTGATGAATCAATACAAGATGAAACAATTTTACCTTTTCCTGCAGAGTTAGGCACCGTCAGTATGACCCATGGTAAAACAAAATGGCAGCAGAGATGGGCATCATCCTTAAAAGGACGTCACATCTATGGCATCGATCCTTTTATCACTAAATTACACATATCTAGAAATAATCGGAGAGAGGAGGTTCTCTTAACCAGACTTCGTCTTGGGCATTGTGGTCTTGATGCTTATCTAAATGTTATTAATAACGACATTTCTGCACATTGTACAGTGTGTAATCAGCTTGTTAATGTAGCTAATTTTTTATTGCATTGCCAAAAGTATGCTAATCAGCGTAAGGCAATGGTGGAGTCTTAACTCTTCTCAATACTGACTGACTCATTGTCTGGTATTTTATGTTCTAGGAATATTGTTCACCATGATGTTCAGAAAGTCATTCTCGCTTATATTAAAGCGTGTGGCAGTTTTGATACTTTATAAAATATCTAGGTACTTAGCAAACCTTTATTATGGGCAAGGCGTAAATGGGCCCAGTTGCCCGAACACCTATATAACATTTTTTTAATCAATCAATCATTAATCGCGATTATTTTAGCACGTGAAACTTGTTCTCGACCTCACGGCCTCGATCAAGAATCACGTGCTAAAATAATCGCGAGATAGAGGACTGATGAGTCATGCATTCGGAACATACCAGGGGAGAGGGACATATATACGAGGGGTTGCTGTGAAGTTCTTAGCCTTAATGCGAAAGATGTACAATACTTTCCATAATAAAAAAATAGTACTATTGCGTGCACTTATATTGCGTGCACTAGACTCCATACACAAGGTGCATGGTCAAAGCGATAAATTTTATTACCCTGGTCAAATGATCAGTGTGCACTCGATTTTCATTATCGGCTCCCAGGAGAGTATACAACCCAAGCTGCCTTGGCAGGCTTACAGACTGCATTTCAACCAAATACACAACCAGGTAGCATATTTCTGCAGGCATCAAAGTGACCAGGTATTCTCCTTTGATGAAAAGGGGCGGTGGGGTAGTCTAGTGGATAAAGTGTTCGCTCGTTACGCCGAAGACCCGGGTTCGATTCCCCACATGGGTACAACGTGTGAAGCCCATCTGTTGTGTCTACCCGCCGTGATATTGCTGGAATATTGCTAAAAGCGGCGTAAAACCATACTCACTCACGCTTTTGATGAAAATGAACAAAACTGAGTGAGTGAGTATGGTTTTACGCCGCTTTTAGCAATATTCCAGCAACAACACGGCGGGGGACACCAGACATGGGCCTCGCACAATGTACCCGTGTCGGGAATCGAACACGGGTCTTCGGCGTGACGAGCGAAGCTTTAACCACTAGGCTACCCGACCGCCCCTGAATAAAACTGGCTGCCGCGCTGTCATCAAGTATCTCCAACGTAACTTCAACAGCCATCCATGTGGACATAGCGTCAACTTTAGAGGATGATGCCCCTCCCTTCCACTGTTGTGGCCTCATAATGCAACTGTGATATGTAACAGGAGTAAAAACAAAATCGATGTAAATGGACTTGTTTAAACCGATGTAAAGCTGTGGCCAAAGTGGATTTGTGAACAGATTTAATTCGTCCAGTGCTTCATCACGGTGGTCTTCATCATCGACCAAGCAAACCAGTGATTAATAATGACACGAGCAACCAGCCACGCCATCGAAGCACGGTGACACATAATCAACCAGTCACAGACTCCGATCCACGGACCTAATTTATTCAAAACAAGAAACACTTTATATGTCAATCTCATTAAAACCCTATCTTTTACTCCGATTCGATGCCTCACTGCGTGGAGGTCTGACGACACCTCGATCTCGCCAGGTGAACTTTCTAAACAGCCTGCGTCGAGGCTTCTAAATTTCTAAACGAGTGAGCAAAGCATCCAAACAAGCATATCTGATTTTTGTATTTCGAAAACGAATATAATCGATGAATTCCGAATGCAAAAATATAAAGCCGCGCTATGATATCGTTGTGGATATGCTATACGTCGTGTTCTTTTCTGAGAGCCACGACATCTACACTCACAACGATGTGCTATCGATGGTTCATTTGTGTTCTGTTGTAATATTCTTTTGCAAAGATCTAACTTTCCGAAATAGAAAAATGAAGACGATTCGTTTTGGAACGTCACCAACGGATTGGCTCTAAAACCCAACCTTCTTTCAGGCAGGGCGTTGAATGTTTGCCCACAGTCCACCCGACGTCTCCTTCTATGGGATGTCCTCAGATCTTAACACACAGAAATATCACTTCGGAGTAAATGATCTGATTTTAATGAGATTGGTGCGATGTCAAACTGTATTAACTGTCCGGGAAGACAAAAACAAAATGATACATGAATCATATGTAGTGTTATTGTTGTGTATGTGACTCTCTACTAAAGGACCGCCTCCGTGGTCTAGTGGTAGAGCGTCCGCCCGGAGAGCGGAAGGTCCGGGGTTCGATCCCCGTCCGCGTCATACCAAAATACGTTAAAAGATGGTACTTGTTGTTACCCTGTCTGGCGCTCGGCATTAAGGGAATGAAACAAGGACTGGTCGGCTCGGAGTCAGTATACTGTGTCTGAGTGGGGTATTCATGTTAAACTGCGGCATGGTATCTCAGTGAGCTAGCACTATAAATCGGCATCAGTCCGGACTAGTACAAGCAGCCACACAAACACACACACGTACATGCACGTCGCTATATAAGTGCAATAATCTTGGACGCGACGTTAAACCCCATTTCACCTCACCTCACCTCTACTAAAGAATTTCCACTAAAGCGACACAGGAACATCAAAGGAACAAAGAGTTTTATTACAAATACTACAAAATATGGAATACAGTGGTATACAATACTACGATGTCATCGAAACTATCACTCTAATAATAATTTATGCACCGTAGCAAAACGATTTTGTATTTTGCGGACACGCATATCGTTTCGCAAATGAAATATACAAGCATGCAGTAAACAGTGACGGAGTGCTCGGTGAAAACTAAGCTCACTCCAAAGCATTAACATTAAGTCTTGTCATAACTAATACAGGCTAACGAATATGAATATATAATATATACTGTGGATAAGGGGACACTTAGTTTTAGACAGAGGAAAAGGATATGCTATCATGGGTTCCCAGCCTGTCTTAATTTTGTGATGTATTTCTCACTGAGTATTACTATTTTTGCTTCGTGTTGATTGGCTAGTTCAGTTGTTTTCGTTGCTCTCGAGGCCTATAACAACCGTACGTGATATGCATTGTCGTAAATATCCCAATCGACAGACCAACTTTGTCAAAGATTAACGTATCATACACGACCTTGCCGTTGTAAAGGATCACCCCTTCTACTGTTTGTATTCACCATTACAGCGAAACGTGTCGACTGTAACACCTCTGACCTGATGGGTACCGGAAACACGTGATTGACGTGGAGCAAGAGGGGTAGAGGCGTCTCTTAAAAAGCACGCTTATCCTATTGACCTATTATTATTGCTGACATGCTAACAACAAAAAGAGCAATAAATTGTCTACGTTTTGGGTAACAAACGGAAATTGACACCCGAATTATCAGCTGGCATGTTCGTATTATGTGCAAACACTCCATTTTCTCTCCAAAAAGCTGTACCCGCGCTTGATATGGAGTAATATCAGTACTCCGTAAGCCTTGAACTACAGTAGCTCGAGGTAGTTTCTATAATGGCGGGGGCACGGGTGGCCAAGTCGTCTAAGGCGCCGCGATTCGCTGTGCAGAGTTGCGTCCCTTGGGCACGCCATAAACCTATGATTGTGGGTTCGAATCCCGGTTCGCCCCGATTATCTTTCTAGGTTTGTCAGCACCATACCCGTGCTCGTGGGTTTCACTTCGGGCTTTCCTCCCACATTAAGCTGACACGCCGTGATATGACTGGAATAATGTTAAAAGCGGCGTTAAAACTCAACTCACTCACTCAATTCTATACTGGCATATGGGCTCCAGGTTAAAAAGGTTAATCTGTATACATGCATCGCTTATACATCTTACTCATACTGAATCACGATATACAAATCAGGATCGGTTCGCTCTTAATACTGTTTCAGAAGACGGTATTCAAGATTCCAATAATCTGACCCTTTATTAACAGCAAAAGTGGCCCGAGATTATTAATATGTATTTTTCATATTTGGTAAGGACAGAAATGTGTGTGAATGCATGCATTATACCGTGGCGTGACGAACCATATCCTTGTCAGACAAGGTAAGCTGTCAATGTTGTCCTTCGACACAGGATGTATAAATGCTAATATATACTCAAGTTCAAAGGGAAGTAAATGTTATCGCGTTTTTAAGAATGACATGTTTTTCAAAAGGCAGCGGACAACCAACTGCTCTGTTTTTCTTTGAAATATTAAATTGGTATTGTGCTTAACTGGGCTGGTAGGCTTTCTCAAGATGTTTCTTTTACACTACAATTTAAACAAAAGATCAATTTTCAAAATTAAATTCTGTCCAGCAACATTTGTGTTGATACACACCGATGGTGAAATGTCTAGTAATATAACGCTAAAAAAGTTAAGAGTCATCAGATTCTTCCATATAAACATAGTTAACCTGGCATGAGTGTGTGAATGAGTGAGTGAGTGAGTATGGTTTTATGCCACTTATAGCAATATTTCAGCAATATCACGGCGGGGGACATCAGAAATGGGCTTCACACATTGTACCCATGTCGGGAATCGATCCCGGGTCTTCGGCGTGACGAGCGAACGCTTTAACCACTAGGCTACCCGACCGCCCCCTAATCTGGCATGATATGACTGATTATCATATATAGTAATATGAAAGAATCGGGTGATCCTCAACTATTTCTGAGTAGTATAATTATCGTTGTTAGAGATGTACAGCAGTTAGGAAAGATAATTTGGCGTGATCTTCATTAAACCCCCAAACAGGCACCACGTTTTCAGCGAGTCTTGACAAGTGGTTTGTTCTGTACAGAGTTGTATTGAGAACCATTATATCCACTTCATTATAATTAATATTAATTAACATTATTATTTGATTTCTATGATCACAGATACTTCTGCCTTTGAGAATACTTGCCTAAAGGGCCATAAGAAATGGTGAAATGCTAAAGTTCTATGATATAACTTCCATCACACTGGAATAGCACCGTAGTTGTTGCAGACCTTCTCCCAGACAACTAGGACGGGTCAACTCTCTTGTAGCTCCCGTATGCTGACTCTGTCGCCACGGTGTCACGTGCGACCTTGTCCTCTTTGGAGATCTTCACCGACCCCCCATCACCAAAGTCATCTCCTTTAAAATCCCTCAGAAGTGACATTGTGAAATCCTGGAATACAGTAGTTTAATGAGACAACCTTCATCTTCAGTGAAACCAAGTGAGTGAGTGAGTATGGTTTTACGCCGCTTTTAGCAATATTCCAGCAATATCACGGCGGGGGACACCAGAAATGGGTTTCACACATTGTACCCATGTCGGGAATCGAGTTTAAACAATTAAGTGGTCTTTTTTGGCCAGTCATAAAATATTCTTGTTTTGCATGAAGTTTTAACACTGAGCAGGTTACAGCGTCTTATGTACCACGTGATCTTGTTTAAACCACGCCCCCTGCGGCTCGAAGTATGAATTAAGTGAGTGAGTATGTTTTTACGCCGCTTCGAGCAATATTCCAGCAATATCAGGGCGGGGTACATCAGAAATGGGATTCACACATTGTACCCATGGGGGAATCGAACTTTGGTCTTCGGCGTGACGAGTGAACGCTTTAACAACAAGGCTATCCCACCACCCGTGTGAATATAGAGACGGGGATGTGGCAATGGCTAGGTTCTCTGCGAATCGCGTCACTTGGGACAAATATCGAAATCGGGTCGAAAAACGAAATTTGAGTTGAAAAAATCGTTTCTTAACAGTGCATAAAAATTAAAGAAAAGTTTTGGGGAAATTTTAGGAAGAGATTTCTCTCCTCTGATGATGCGGTTTCTCTGGTAATGCGAAACAAGACATTTATTTTAACACGGATTGTCTGATTTAATTAATTTTGAAAATTCCTGACAAAACATTCATGTGCGATAACACATGGCAGATCCTAACAAGGCAGCGACCCGTGAAGATCCGGGTTAGAATAGATTTTCAGCAACCCATGCTTGCGTAAAAGGCGACTATGCTTGTCGTAAGAGGCGACTAGCGGGATCGGGTGGTCAGGCTCGATGACTTGGTTGATGCATGTCATCGTATCCCAATTGCGTGGTTCGATGCTCATGATGTCAATCACTGGATTGTCTGGTCCGGACTCGATTATTTACAGACCGCCGCCATATAGCTGGAATTTTGCTGAGTGCGGCGTTAAACAACAAACAAACAAAACAAATAATATGGCCGATTAGTTATAAAATCACCGGAGCGAGTGGGTTGGGTTTGACACTGGCTTGGTAGTGGTCACACTATAACGTGGTATCGTGGTATTTCTAACACTCTCACCTGTATCTGTGTGTCTGTTACGCTGCCGCCGTACAGTTCTGGCAAGTTCTCCAGCGGAATATACTCGTATAACTCTGCATAGTCGTTTCCATGAAAGTGATTCTGAAACGTAACACACCACAGTATGCACTGCTTATAATGTCAGATGTCAGATATGGAAATATTAAAATTTTCGAAATTCAGCCAATACGTATTCAATACACTGTGGTCTTTCCCCTGTGATCAGTGAAACAAATATAGATCATTATAATATCATCTTATTATTCCGTGTGGGAGATATATATGATCATTATTCCCGTGTTATCAGACTATGGCTGCATGACAGATATATATGATCATTATTCCCGTGTTAATAGACTATGGCTGCATGACAGATATATATGTCATCATTATTCCCGTGTTATCGGACTATGGCTGCATGACAGATATATATGATCATTATTCCCGTGTTATCAGACTATGGCTGCATGACAGATATATATGTCATCATTATTCCCGTGTTATCGGACTATGGCTGCATGACAGATATATATGATCATTATTCCCGTGTTATCGGATTATAGCTGCATGACAGATATATATGTCATCATTATTCCCCTGTTGTCGGACTATGGCTGCATGACAGATATATATGATCATTATTCCCGTGTTATCAGACTATGGCTGCATGACAGATATATATGATCATTATTCCCCTGTTATCAGACTATGGCCATATGACAGAGATATATGATCATTATTCTCGTCTTATCAGACAATGGCCGTGTGACAGATACATTTGATCATTATTCCCGTGTTATCAGACTATGGCGATATGAAAGAGATATATGATCATTATTCTCGTCTTATCAGACAATGGCTGCATGGCAGATATATATGATCATTATTCCCGTGTTATCAGACTATGGCCGTGTGACAGATACATTTGATCATTATTCCCGTGTTATCAGACTATGGTCGTGTGACAGATATATTTGATCATTATTCTCGTGTTATTTTTTTCTTTTACATTTTACTAAGGATTGTTGGTGACGCAGCTTTAAATACATATGCCACACGTTTGTCTTCTCGCTGCAAACTGGTTCCTTGCGTGGATCGCGCTTTAGCGGGTTTAAGGTGACAGGAGCCCCGTTAACTGTCGCCGCCGAGGATTTAATTATCCGAGTTCCACGTTCACCACGTAGCTGTTACACAATGTACACACTTCCCCGACACAGCTGCACTTGACAACTCCACCCGTGACAATCAACGTGCCAGGAAGAAGGTGATGGCTTATATTAACACTATCCTAGCACAACCTGGTTAGTACACCCATCTAATCAAAACGGGATAACTTTACACTAAATAGGAAGCTGATATGAGCCAGTGTGAATTAGCGGAGAAATGATGATGCGGCTACCGTCGTGGTGTTGATGACTACAGGGATACTCAGCGCGTCTATGGCACATATATATGTGCTGACTGAACGCCATGAACAGATGAAGACTGAACCTCCTAAGGACCACGCCCTGCCGAGATGGGTATTCAGTTAGGACTGGTGGAAGAGGTGGTCAGTGACCGGTGGTTGGCGAGTGACAGATACACGGTGGACATAGTTGTGTGAGATCATTCCATCACTTCAATTCCGAGATGGAAGGTAACCTGTCAAACGGAACGTTTGAGGATCCGCTTTTAGGAAGAAGTGAAGATACTTTCGCGGAAGTTTTCTTCGTCCTCTTGTTTGTTTGTGTTATAGAAAATCCGTTCATTGTTTATATCATACAGAGAACAGCCGGACTGAAAGCATCAGTCAGCGCTCTCCTCATCAACGAGTGTGTCGCCGAGACAGTCATGGAACTCATGCTCATTGTCCATATAATTACAGACAAATTGGACGTACTGGACGCCATTACGACCAGGAAGTACATTGTGGCGATTTCGAGAGGTTTATTTGGGGTCGTAATCCATAGCCTGTCCGCTATTAGTTTCAACATGCATCTAGCTATCTGCCACGGCATTGTGTTCCAGAGGCAAGTCACATTGAAGCGGGTTTGGATCTTTCTAGTTCTCACCTGGGTGCTCAATCTATCCATATCTCTCCTGACCCTTGTGTCTGACCAGACCCGCATTGGTATATATCCCAACTACAGTGGCGCATCAGCGTGTCTGTGGGTTGTATTTAACTTCAATACACACCTACTTCCATTCTGCGTGACTGTATTCAGCTTCATCAAGATCACTCTCCATTTGAAGAAGACCCAGCCTATTGTGTTAGCAAGGCCCGGTAGTCGGGACAAGATAGTGCTTTCCAGCTTAATCACATGCTTGTCCATTTATTACGTTGCAGCGTCCTTCATGGGACACCTGCTGAGGAGTCTGTACTTGAACACAGCCATCCAACAACAAATGATACACGGGGTGTGGAACGTGTTTGTCGGGGCCTTGTATCTGTACCATGTCTTGAGGCTGCCGTTCTACATGTTCGTGTACAAGCCCTTCCGGCAGACGGTGCGGGGGATATTCGGCTGGGGCGCGCCGTGCGCCGGGTGTGTGACAATGCCAGGTCAGCCTGTCGATGTTCATATACAGCGGCGACATAGTCGATGGTGATGATCATGATGGCGATGATGATGGTGATGATGGAGAGGATGATGATGACGATGACGACAATGGTGATGAAAGTGATTATGATGACAACGACGAAAATGATAGTGATGATGATGATGATGATGGTGGTGGTGGTGGTGAATCTGGCATCCCATAATGACACGTGTGGGAGCTACAACGGAGATGTTGATGTTGACGAGGAAGATGTTGAAATATTGAAAGAGTGAAACAGACTCCCACTCGCCGGTGATGTAGGAAAACAATGACGACTTGTATATACAAATGTGCGAACGGACCTCTAGAATGTATGTAATTGTCATTGTTGTCGATGTTAAAATTTAGGCCAATTAATTTTTAGATTATCAGTACATGTGTATGTTTAATCTTAACATTTGTTGTATGATATTAAATATTTATTTAAAGAGGTACATGGAAGTTTGTTTTTTTAATAGAAAACTAAAAAATGATATTTGGTTGTTCTGCATGTGTGTGTGTGTGTGTGTGTGTGTGTGTGTGTGTGTGTGTGTGTGTGTGATGGCGATCAGGTGACATTATTGCTCTTTTCAGTTCATTCTACGTCGAGTGAGTGAGTGAATAAGGCGATTAAAGTACTGCTCTCTGTCAACATATAATTGATTCCATATCTTTACATTTATTTTTAACTGACATGTAATTTAGATATATCAAAAGAAGGATATTATTTCCTACACATAAACAATTATTAAAAACAATGTCCCTTAAAATTTGACAAGATGAAATGAAAAAAACCCACCTTCCCATTACTACACGAAGTAGAATCACCGCATGCTGCACCCCAATAGGGTTAGGATGGTAACACAAGGAGTCCTTACTACTTAACATGTGTAAACCTAAGAAGAAAGTAACTCTCAGGTGTGATGGAACTGATTTAACAGCTGCCGAGTTTGTTTGGTGCTCACACTATCAACCATTGGTTTGTCTGCACCAGAATCGATTGCACATTATAGAGCTTTGGTATTAATAACCATGGCATGACCTTTCATTTACTCACTCACATTACTGAGTGAGTGAGTATGGTTTTACGCCGCTTTTAGCAATATTCCAGCAATATCACGGCGGGGGACACCAGAAATGGGCTTCACACATTGTACCCATGTCAGGAATCGAACCCGGGTCTTCGGCGTGACGAGCTTACGCTTTAACAACTAGGCTACCCGACCGCCCCCACTCACATTACTGGATCAGACTCTTACCCGCCCCTTTAACCTTGTGCTGAGGAACGGCTTGACGAGTGTGTACAGGCGATCAATGGCCCCAGATTCGTTCATGTTGTGGAAGCCATCAAACCGAGCCGGAAACGCTTCCTGGAAACATAGTGTACGAATGCGATTCAGCAAATATGTTTATTATAGGATTTACATGTTTTGTAAACTGCCGGGCAAAAGAAAGTATACACCCGTGTTTGATGGCTAAAAATGAAAGAAATGGTTATTCGATGGAGATGCTTTAGCGCTCCGGCTGCACAAGCGGGTCCTCGTGAAAACGGCCTCGGGGTAATTAGAGAAAACGGCCAATGCATAAGAGTAAACGGCCACCACGTTTGGAGAACACGGCCAATGCATAAGATAAAACGGCCCCCACGTTTGGAAAAAAACGGCCAATGCATAAGAGTAAACGGCCACCACGTTTGGAGAAAACGGCCAATGCGTAAGAGAAAACGGCCAATGCGTAAGAGAAAACGGCCAATGCATAAGAGAAAACGGCCAATAGGGTTAGTGAAAACGGCCACCACGGTGGGAGAAAATGGGCTCTATATTCAAAATGTTGAAAATAGTGGAATACTTTGATAAACTAATCCAATTTAAGATAATTTAGTTTCTCCCTTTTCTGTTACAAACACAGAGGCCGTTTTCTCTTCTGCAGTGGCCGTTTCTCTTCTGCAGCGGCCGTTTTCTTTAATTGCCAATTTTCTCCAGGCCCCGGGATCATGAAAGTGGTTTTAGCTCAAATTTTGCTAATCACGAATTTTGCCTTAAGTTTTTAAGATTTTGCTTAGCTAAAAATACCGCCTAATATTTGAAGGACATAAATATATATCAAATGGAGTTATATGCGTATATATAACGACATAAATTCAATGCAAAAAATGTGGACCTATTCCAACCCGGATATACCAACGGGGTGCAACCATCATAGGTTGATGCATGTTATCGTATCCCAATTGCGTGGGTCGATGCTCGTGATGTCAATCACTGGATTATCTGGTCCAGACTCGATTATTTACAAACTGCCGTCTTATACCTGGCGTCGAACAACAAATAAATAAACAAACGTAGTACAATACTAGATACTGAGGGTCATTCAGACCCGGAATCCCCACAGTGTGTAAGCTAAATAACGACTCGGTCTTACCTCATAGAGTTTGCTGAGCTTCCGCATTAGTGGTATTGAGAGTGCTCTAACGTGTTTCCATGACAACGCTTCCATGTCCTCAACAGTCCTTAGTCCCCCTATTTGAGTCTCGGGGTCCTGCAACATACCGGTGTTTTATTGGGGATAAGCTTGCATCGGAACGCAACAGATTCAAGACAAAGTAAAACACATCGACGTTTGTTTTTTTGGGATTCCTGACTTTTGAACGCAATAAATTCAAAACCAAGTAAAACAAATTTTAAAAGAATGGGTAAAAACCTTTTATGGCAGATCTCTGAATTTCCAGTTACCGGTTTCGCCAGGAAATGAAATAAACACAATCATTTAAGTCTCTGAACGGACCTGTATGAGTTTGAGCTGGAGAGAAATAGTAAGTCTGAAGAGATCTACCATCGGCGTGGTTTCCGGCTCCCAGAGACCTGCAATGATGACACTCATATGATATATGACACAGCCTACTGTATGGCACACGGGTACAATCCATGGTATGATATATGACAGCCTACTGTATGGCACACGGGTACAATCCATGGTATGATATATGACAGCCTACTGTATGGCACACGGGTACAATCATTGGTATGATGTATGACAAAGCCTACTGTATGGCACACGGGTACAATCATTGGTATGATGTATGACACGGCCTACTGTATGGCACACGGGTACAATCCATGGTATGATATATGACACGGCCTACTGTATGGCGTACGGGTACAATCCATGGTAAGATATATGACTCGGCCTACTGTATGGGGAACGGGTACAATCCATGGTATGATATATGACACAGCCTACTGTATGGCATACGGGTACAATCCATGGTATGATATATGACACGGCCTACTGTATGGCACACGAGTACAATCCATGGTATGATATATGACACAGCCTACTGTATGGCACACGGGTACAATCATTGGTATGATATATGACACGGCCTACTGTATGGCACACGGGTACAATCCATGGTATGATATATGACACGGCCTACTGTATGGCACACGGGTACAATCCATGGTATGATATATGACGCAGCCTACTGTATGGCACACGGGTACAATCCATGGTATGGTATATGACACGGCCTACTGTATGGCACACGGGTACAATCCATGGTATGGTATAAGACACGGCCTACTATATGGCATACGGGTACAATCCATGGTATGGTATATGACACGGCCTACTGTATGGCACACGGATACAATCCATGGTATGATGTATGACACAGCTATTTGTGTGGTATATACATTTAGATACAATCCATGGTATGATATATTACACAGCCTACTGTATGGCACACGGGTACAATCAATGGTATGATATATGACACAGCCTACTGTATGGCACACGGATACAATCCATGGTATGATGTATGACACAGCTATTTGTATTGTATATACATTTAGATACAATCCATGGTATGATATATGACACAGCTTACTGTATGGCACACGGGTACAATCAATGGTACGATATATGACACAGCCTAGTGTATGGCACACGGGTACAATCCATGGTATGATGTATGACACAGCTATTTGTATTGTATATACATTTAGATACAATCCATGGTACGATATATGACACAGCTTACTGTATGGCACACGGGTACAATCCATGGTATGATATATGACACAGCCTACTGTATGGCACACGGATACAATCCATGGTATGATGTATGACACAGCTATTTGTATGGTATATACATTTAGATACAATCCATGGTATGATATATGACACAGCCTACTGTATGGCACACGGGTACAATCAATGGTATGATATATGACACAGCCTACTGTATGGCACACGGGTACAATCCATGGTATGATATATGACACAGCCTAGTGTATGGCACACGGGTACAATCCATGGTATGATATATGACACAGCCTAGTGTATGGCACACAGGTACAATCCATGGTATGATATAAGACACGGCCTACTGTATGGCACACGGGTACAATCCATGGTATGATATATGACACAGCCTAGTGTATGGCACACGGGTACAATCCATGGCATGATATATGACACGGCCTACTGTATGGCACACGGGTACAATCCATGATATGATATATGACACAGCCTAGTGTATGGCACACTGTTACAATCCATGGTATGATATATTACACAGCCTACTCTATGGCACACGGGTACAATCAATGGTATGATATATGACACAGCCTAGTGTATGGCACACAGGTACAATCCATGGTATGATATATGACACGGCCTACTGTATGGCACACGGATACAATCCATGGTATGATATATGACACAGCCTACTGTATGGCACACGGGTACAATCCATGGTATGATATATGACACAGCCTAGTGTATGGCACACGGGTACAATCCATGGTATGATATATGACACGGCCTACTGTATGGCACACGGGTACAATCCATGATACGATATATGACACATCCTACTGTATGGCACACGGGTACAATCCATGGTATGATATATGACACAGCCTACTGTATGGCGTACGGATACAATCCATGGTATGATATATAACACAGCCTACTGTATGGCGTACGGGTACAATCCATGGTATGATATATGACACAGCTATTTGTATGGTATATACATTTAGATACAATCCATGGTATGATATATGACACGGCCTACTGTATGGCACACGGATACAATCCATGGTATGATATATGACACAGCCTACTGTATGGCACACGGATACAATCCATGGTATGATGTATGACACAGCTATTTGTATGGTATATACATTTAGATACAATCCATGGTATGATATATGACACAGCCTACTGTATGGCACACGGGTACAATCAATGGTATGATATATGACACAGCCTACTGTATAGCACACGGATACAATCCATAGTATGATATATAACACGGCCTACTGTATGGCGTACGGGTACAATCCATGGTATGATATATGACAGAGCTATTTGTATGGTATATACATTTAGATACAATCCATGGTATGATATATGACACAGCCTACTGTATGGCACACGGGTACAATCCATGGTATGATATATGACACGGCTATTTGTATGGTATATAATTTAGATATAATCCATGGTATGATATATGACACGGCTATTTGTATGGTATATACATTTAGATACAATCCATGGTATGATATATGACACAGCCTACTGTATGGCACACGGGTACAATCCATGGTATGATATATGAGACAGCCTACTGTATGGCGTACGGGTACAATCCATGGTATGATATATGACACGGCTATTTGTATGGTATATAATTTAGATACAATCCATGGTATGCCCTGTAATTATAACCAAAGATGGATATGTGACACAGCCCTCTGACTCACCTATCCTGACGTACAACACTCTACCGCCGTTAGCCCTCTGACTCACCTATCCTGACGTACAACACTCTACCGCCGTTAGCCCTCTGACTCACCTATCCTGACGTACAACACTCTATCGCCGTTAGCCCTCTGACTCACCTATCCTGACGTACAACGCTCTACCCCCTGTTAGCCCTCTGACTTACCTATCCTGACGTACAACACTCTACCGCCGTTAGCCCTCTGACTCACCTATCCTGACGTACAACACTCTACCGCCGTTAGCCCTCTGACTCACCTATCCTGACGTACAACACTCTACCGCCGTTAGCCCTCTGACTCACCTATCCTGACGTACAACACCCTGCCTCCCTGCACGTCTCGGCCCGGCAACACACCGAGGAGGCCGCTGTGAACGATGTCGCGAGCCTCCTGTAGAGGTAGCGGCGTGAAGAGGTCGGGGTTGTTGGCCTTGTACTTGTAGAACGCCTTCACACAGTCGGACGTCTGCTTCATTCGGAATTCGTTCGCACGAAGGAAGCGAAGCAGACGACTTTCGTCCGCTGCAACATCTGGAACTATGAACGACATGGATTGATAGGAGCGTGTCTTTTATTTATACGTTTGATTCAAATTGAATTTGTTCGCAATACAATGACATCAGATGCATTCAAATGGAATGTTGAAATACAGGAATATGTTTTAATAATATACAGAAACAAAAAAGTTCGGTATCATGAATATTTTTTTGGATATTTTTATGAAATTGTGTGCTCAGTCTTCACTATAAAAATTATATATACTACAGTATATTACAAACACTGAATAGAAAGTAGCGAGTGAGTGAGTGAGTGGGTGAGTGAGTGAATAGCCGTTTTGACGGCGGTCTGTAAAAAATCGAATTTCGAAAATTTTAATATTTCCATATCTGACATCTGACATTATAAGCAGTGCATACTGTGGTGTGTTACGTTTCAGAATCACTTTCATGGAAACGACTATGCAGAGTTATACGAGTATATTCCGCTGGAGAACTTGCCAGAACTGTACGGCGGCAGCGTAACAGACACACAGATACAGGTGAGAGTGTTCGAAATACCACGATACCACGTTATAGCGTGACCACTACCAAGCCAGCGTCAAACCCAACCCACTCGCTCCGGTGATTTTATAACTAACCGGCCATGTTATTTGTTTTGTTTGTTTGTTGTTTAACGCCGCACTCAGCAAAATTCCAGCTATATGGCGGCGGTCTGTAAATAATCGAGTCCGGACCAGACAATCCAGTGACTGACATCATGAGCATCAATCCACGCAATTGGGATACGTTGACATGCATCAACCAAGTCAGCGAGCCCGGCCGCCCGATCCCGTTAGTCACCTCGTACCACAAGCATAGTCGCCTTCTACGGCAAGCATTGGTTGCTGAAGACCAATTCTACCCCGGATCTTCACGGGTCTTATTGACATGCGGGCGGTGGGGTAGTCTAGTGGTGAAATCATTTGCTCGTCATGCCGCAGGCCTGAGTTCAATTCCTCACATGGGTAAACTGTATTAAATTATCTTCTGGTGAACCCCGCCAGGATATTGCTGACAGCGACTTAAAATCATATTCTTTCACTCTTGACTCGAACCTATTATTTCAGCATCAGTGCATACAGAAGATAAAAAAACTCCTTTTTGTTCGTCTTGTTTACAAAACTATTCAGTAAATTGTGAGAACGAGACGTCGGCAGTTGATAACGTCTAGCGCTTCTAATGATGTGACTCCCTTCCCCACTGATTCGTGAAACGTGTCTGACACTGCACCCGCCTAACAAGATGTACACTGACATCACAGCTAGTATTTGTATGACCATATATTATATATGAGAGCAGTGTTCTGAATCTTCAGCACACGCTTTTGTCACTATGGAGTAATCACGACAGCCATCAGCCGACATAGGGAATGATTGTCGTTTGACGGGTTTCCGAGATTCCTTTTTACACTGCGTGTTACGCTTACAACTGAGCGCAATATTGATTTTGGACGCATACGAACTTGGCGTACGCATATTTATATACAAAGCTCGAAAATTAGTTTAATAGAACATAGTATATCGTAGGAACGGAGAACACCTTGTGCCATCAGGGTACAGCATGAGTCGTGGGAGCAGGTCCCTTGATTTGTTTCGCCTGGATGTGTGTGTGTGTGTGTGTGTGTGTGTGTGTGTGTGTGTGTGTGTTGTTGTACAAGTCCGGGCTTATACCTATTTTAAAGTGCTAGACCAATGGGATACCATGTCGTAGTTTAACATGAATACCCCTCTCAGACACCGTATACTGACTCCGAAGCGAGAAGTCCTTGTTTTAACCCCTTAATTGAGCCCCCGACCCTCCGCTCTCCTGGGGGACGCTCTAATACTAGACTAGGCGGTCTCGACTCTCAAAAAAGGAATATGACTGAACTATAGTTTGGATTCTTATCCATGTGGCTTAGGCGTTTTAATCAATGACCAGGTCATTGATTACGCATGTCCGTGTTTCCGATGAAATTTAACTAAAAAGCCAGGGTTGCCAGACAATGCAGTCAGTGCAGTTATTAAATAAACATAGTAACCAAAGTTACACATTAACGACCAGTAACCTAGCCATAGCAGCCAACAGTGACATTACCATAGCAACCATCAGTGTGTGTATGTTGTTTAACGCCGCACTCAGCAATATTCCAGCTATATGACGGCGGTCTGTAAATAATCGGATCTAGACCAGACATTACAGTGATTAACATCATGAGCATCGATCCACGCAATTGGGATCGATGACATGCATCAACCAAGTCAGCGAGCCTGACCACCCGATCCCGTTCGTCGCCTTTTACGACAAGCTTGGATTGCTGAAGACCACTTCTAACCCGGATTTTTACGGGTCTCATCAGTGACAATGCCATAGCAACCACCAGTGACGTTCCAATATCAACCACCTGTGACCTTGCCATTGCAGCCAACAGTGACATTACCATAGCAACAACAAGTGACCTTGCCATTGCAGCCACCAGTGACATTCCCATAGCAACCACGAGTGACCCTGCGATTACAACCACCAGTGACATCATCAAAGCAACCCCAACAACCTGCACAGTGACCTTCCATATTAACACCCAGTGACCTTAACGTAGTACTTTCCAGTGGTTGGGTGAAATGGGGTTTAACGTCGCGTCCAAGATTATTGCACTTATATAGCGACGCACATGCACGTGTGTGTGTGTGTGTGTGTGTGTGTGTGTGTGTGTGCTTGTACTAGTTCGGACTGATGACGAGTTATCTTGCTCGCACACTGAGATACCATGCCGCAGTTTAACATGAATACCCCACTAAGACACACTATACCCACCCCTTAATGCCGAGCGCCAGACAGGGTAACAACAACTACCATCTTTTAACGTCTTTTGGTAAGACGCGGCCGGGGATTGAACCCCGGACCTTCCGCTCTCCGGGCGGACGCTCTACCTCTAGACCACGGAGACGGACAACCACACTAAATGTCACTATTGACTTTCTTATTTTACATATAGGGGTAGCATATGCCTCCAGTCCTACATAAGGAGATTGCTGTGCGGGTGTATACCTCCTGGGTGGTCTTACCGAGTGTCTTCAGGGTGGACTGCATCTCCTCCAGGATAATCTCCCTTGCGCTCAGGTCTTCACTCGCGTATAACGCCGCCCTCTCCCGCAACTCCGGCGTGAGCTCATCTACCACGCATCCTGCTGACGTCATTCTCTCAGGACTGATATCAACTGCAGTTCCATATATTTTAAATATTATAAATATAAATATGTCAAATGAAGTCATTATGATTCTCAACTGAGTGTTAGCTCTCGTGATAAGGCTGATACACATTAACGTGTGGACTGTGATTCAGCTTCGTATTTTCTCAATGTGGATTTTCGGAACAGGTACTGGAACTTTCATCTAGTGGGTGAGTGAGTTTGGTTTAACGCCGCTTTAAACAGTATTCCAGGTACATCCCGGCGTGTCAGCTTAATGTGGGAAGAAAGCCCGAAGTGATGCGGGTCTCAGACGTTTAAAACGGGCAGAGTTATGGTGCTGACAAACCATGAATCATATAAAGATGGATCTGGGATTTGAACTCACTGAACCGACTGACGTGCGCAACAGCGATCTGCGGTACATACTGGGCTACCGTCTCCCCGTGCTCCGAAAACCAACAGACACGTATTCTAAAAGAGTAATAGTGAGTGAGCTTTTGTCATTTTTTAAAATTTTTAAATTTTTTTCTCGTCACAGTCAGCAATATTCCAAAAAACCACAATAAGCAACGAACCACGTGGACGGGGTACGATGTCACACAAGCTGACCGGACTCCGACGACAAGCTTTAGGTGTGGGGATCTATCTAGTCCCGGTATTGTTTGTTTGATGTTTAACGCCACACTCAGCAATATTCCAGCTATGTGAAGGCGGTCTGTATGTAATCGGGTCTGGCCAGACAGTCCAGTGACAGACGTCATGAGTATCGATCACGCAATTCGGATATGATGACAAGCATCAGGGAGCGTGACCACCCAGTCCATTTAGTCGCCTCTTTCGACAAGCTGGGTCCTATATCCTAACTCAGAATCCCCGTGGGTGGAATATTTAGGGGTTGTGGCTACAGTGAGGAAACGAAATGAATGTCGGTTTTCTGCATTATGACAGTCGTCTTTCTGGTCCACCTATAGCTATTGGAGTGACCAACTCATAGCGAGAGGAGACAATCAATGCTGGACACAGGGGTAAATTTCACCCGATCTACAAGATGTAATTTCAATGAGAAATATAACATTCGTGTTTCTCAACAGACTGCCACACTTTACAGTAGTCATTCTGTTCAATGCCTGTTCAGTGTTTAAGCTCTCGCAATGACATTACTGTGAAAGGGTGTCTGTCTATATGAGACTGGTGAGACAATGTAGACTCTCTGCCGTTGTTAGTACACGGTATTAGACTGTTAGTTAGTTGCATCGTGAAATACTTATCAGGCATCTTTTACTTACCTTGTGTGGAGGATACAAGAAGAAGTAGCTCCGCCTCGAGTGTTGTTATATTCAGACTGACGCTTCTTGAACGCAGTCATCCGTGAACACAGTCCTACACAGCCGAACACAGTCCTACACAGCCGAACACAGACCCTCCTACGCAGTGGAGGGACAAACCTGAAACCTGAAACACCCCCCAACACAATGCGGGTGTGTTTAGGCGAGTGTTCTTGTGACGTTCGTGACGCGTACTTTGACCTAGTTTACTTGTTCAACCAGTTCAGGAATTTCAAAGGCGAAATAATGTCCTGAATGAAATCCAGAGTCGCCTTTGATTTCTCTCATAAAATGAAGGGAGATAATTCGGGTTACAAAAGGACCAGCAAGATATGGAGAACGATCAGATGTGACGGTGTTACTGGCCGGAGGTTTTCAACATAAACATTACCGCACATCCAGTTCTCATTAACACCCGTAAGTCTGAAAACACATCATGTTTATCGACGATAACTTCATGATCCGTCCTTGACAACTAAATCCGCCTGGCCAGCAGTATGTGGAGAACAGACAACTAAATAGATTTTTCACATAAAGATTGATCAAACGTAATGTAAAATTACAGCGGAATCAAGTCGCCAAGCCAAGGGCCACCTCTTTCAAATTTGGGATTGAGAAGAAATAGTTACTGATCAGGGACCCGTTTCACAAAGCGATCTTAGCGCTATGACTATCGTAAGCCAGTGTTAAAGTATGGGAGTTACGATCACCTCAGCGCTAAGATGGCTTTGTGGAACGGAAGCCAGGGACCCGTTCCACAAAGCGATCTTAGCGCTATGACTATCGTAAGCCAGTGTTAAAGTATGGGATTTACGATCACCTTAGCACTAAGAAGGCTTTGTGGAACGGGGTCCAGATTGCAGCACACATTCTCACCCCTTGACGATATCGTTCCGCGTTATTTTATTGGGCAAAGAGAACCATATTCTGACCTGAATCGGATGGGAATTAAGATGCAAATAGTTGACCCAACATTTGTTTTTGAAATAGGTTTACAAACTACAGACCCAAAGACAGATGGCGAACAAATTTCATTTTCCGCTGCCTGTATAGGTCAACCTACATGGAAAACAACATCTGATCAATTTCATTTAAAGGATTCATAAATATTTCTATAGGGTTTCTTATAAGACGAAATGACATAACTTTAACATAGCCACTTCGGCTGACATGTGTATCCTGTTAGTAAACAACTTACCTAACCTGTTTCACGACATTTTGATACTTTGAAAACATTTGTTCAAACAGTTCGCCGTAACGCATATTTTGGCGGCAATCTTTACGCTCCAGTGATCGTACGGCTCTGTGAAAGGGAAACTCGTGCAGAATATATTAGAAAGTTGTCAATACCTGTTGCAAAGTTTTGATTTCTTTTACTCTTCGCCTCCTCACATTTAGATATATCAAAATGTAATGGCCGTGACTCCTGAAGTGGCTTGATCTGGAGCGTGTATTAACAGGCCTTGGGGCGGTAGGGATCGGGGCTGCTTTGATCCGGGCGATTATGCCTGAAAGGCTATATTTGAGATGTGTAAGTAATGTAATAAGTTTACACGGCAACCTCAATAGGTATAATTCATGGGACAACATTTTAGTTTTCCTTTGTGTATATGATGTCTACTGTAGAAACTTTAGGAATACCAGCAGTATAGAGACTTGAATAACTTACATATGACAGGTGGTCGTAAACTGATACCGACCTTGAGGTGTTGTAGCGTGTTTTTCATATACCCTCATATCCCATTTCATGGCAGATTCGGGGCGGTCGGGTAGCCTAGTGGTTAAAGCGTTCGCTCGTGACGCCAAAACCCTGGTTCGATTCCCGACATGGGTACAATGTGTGAAGCCCATTTCTGGTGTCCCCCGCCGTGATATTGCTGGAATATTGCTAAAAGCGGCGTAAAACCATACTCACTCACTCACTCATGACAGATTCACGATCTGTGTATGTGATCGCGCATTTGATAATGTTTAAAATAAATCCAGACTTTGAGGATGGTTTTACTCTGTATTTATATCGAAGCTCGATGACAGCTTAATACCGGAACCCCGGAAAACCGGACGGTATTATTCCCGGTTATCATCAATAGTGAATCATCAATATAAACAGCCGTGCAAAAAAAAAAAAAAAAATAGAAAAAAAAGCATGCCCCCATGTTTGACGGTGGCTAAAAATGAAACAAATAAGAAATGTTTATGCGATGGTGATGTATTTGATACGGGTACCATAGTTGTGTTTCGGTCATTGTTTTCAGCCTAGTAACGTTTGATAGCGTTTGTAATTGTTTGTGTTAAAATCCAAGTACCAAGTGTATACTATCTTTTGCCCGGCAGTGTATGTAGTGATTTCGCTTTCGTGATATTTGATTCAGTAATCGTCCGAAATTGTGGGGTTCTCGGATTGACTGCATCTGAAGCAACATGGGCCCAGTGTAGGTGTATATCCCGCCATTGTTCCACGTAAACGTCCGGAATGATCCATCTATTGCGGTGACTCCAGTACTCCACATTCCCCTATAAAGTGTTGAAACCACACATTTCCACCAACTTCTTCGTCTCCTTGAATTAAAAGGGAAATTTCCATTTCTTAAGGCATGTTTACCCCCGTAAATACCGTTATTTGGTGCCAGTCAAATATAATCGTAAATCCTGTCATCTGGCGAGAATTTTGCTTCTCTTGTCCATCAACATGTTTAACAGAGAAGAAAAGACAAATATTTGATTAATTAATATGCATTTTCCGGATTTTCATTATCCTGCTCTCAAAACCATCGTATCAATAAGTAGTTCAGGCATGAAGCGATTTCCTATATTCTGATATACTTGTAAGTTCAGTTTTTCATCACTGAATACATATTACAAACATGTATGGGGAGTCACGTGAAATTGTACCTCTACCGACGTTTTTTCTACGCTGGAATATATATATAAACTGCCGGGCAAAGGTATACATTCATCTTTGATGGATGCTTAAATGAAACAAACAAGAAATGGTTATTCGATGATGATTTATTTGATCCGGGTCTCATAGTTATGTTTTGGACCATTAAGTGTGTGCAGTGCATTTAAAACCTTGACAAATGTCTACATAGTGTCACACTCTGCATTTCCATGGGTTTGTACAGTGATCTAAGAGGCCGTAATACATTGTGCAGAGGTGTATCAGGATCCGCTGATCCCAGATTCGGCGTGATGGTTTGTCAGCACCTTCACGAAAGTGGTTGATGTCAAGGTGACACGCCTTGATATAACTCAAATACTATTCAGCGCTTTAAACCCAACTCCCTCACTCACTCTAACCACAAGGCAACCATGCAACTGGAATGTATTGGCTGATGTATGTTCCAGTATTCCTCGATGACGTGGGCGGATGATGTCGCCTCCAGTGTTCAGCGAGATTGTTCAACATTCTTATTATGCAACTCCGTGCTGTGTTGGTGATATTTCCAACACAGTGGGGCGGTCGGGTAGCCTTGTGGTTAAAGCGTTCGCTCGTGTGACGCCGAAGACCCGGGTTCGATTCCCGACATGGGTACAATGTGTGAAGCCCATTTCTGGTGTCCCCCGCCGTGATATTGCTAGAATATTGCTAAAAGCGGCGTAAAATCATACTCACTCCAACACAGTGTGCCTGTTCAGAAGAGTACATGTATAGCGTCAGCCACAAGGTTTTGCCATTGAGACAATTCTAATAACCAGCGAACAAATACTCATTTAAAATGTGAATGGACGCATTATATTAGTCTGTTTTGTCCTAAAAGCACGAATGCATTCGTTCGTGAGTAAATACCAGGTTAACCTCCGCATGCTTTTGAGCACATCGTCAAAACGCACCATTACCTGAAAAGACTGGATCAACGATATCCCCTTATAAATAGAGGAGGGTCTATACAAACAAAGGTGTCCCAGATGAATATTAAGACTGAGCCAAGGCTTTGGATAAAATGTTTTCACTCCGGAAAATATGTTTGTAGTATACTTATTTAATATACTGATATTGTTTACGTATGTTTGACACGTATCTCAAAGATTGACAATCTTTAAAGCCGTTTAATCTTTATCGCCAAAGCCCTTAGCTGTCAGTTTTTAGCGGATAAGCAAGAGCACAGTTGCGTCTGTCCGGAAGTATAGTTAATGTTGTTCTATGAACGGATTGTATAAATACTTTAACACTTGATAACCCACTATCTACGTCGATGAGAACATACATACATACACTCGTTGGTGCGGAGCAAGAAGTAAACAAGACCTGACTCGCGGCGTTCATTTCATTCAAAGTCAACCATGGTTTTATTACTATTTACTACAGTACTGCCTACACGTACCACAGTGTCCTGGTAGAGTTCCTGATTGCAATACGTTATGTCGCGGGACAAATATCCTTCTTTTGTAGTCGTCTACGTTTGTCAGAGCGTGCTTTGAAACCGGCTGGTCATAGAACTGTAAGCAGAGAACATGAATTGAAAGAAGCACCCTGTAAATCATCAAAACGTTTCATGGGGCCCATTTCACAAAGCGATCGTCGCGCTTCGACTGTCGTAAACCTATGTTAAAGTATGAGAATTATGATCATCTTAGCACTACGACTGTCGTAAGTCTTTGTTAAAGTATGGGAGTTACGATCATCTTAGCACTACGACTGTCGTAAGTCTATGTTCAAGTATGGGAGTTACGATCATTTTAGCGCTACGACTGTCGTAAATCCATGTTAAAGTGTGAGAGTTACGATCATCTTAGCGCTACGACTGTCGTAAGTCTATGTTAAAATATGGGAATGACGGTCATCTTAGCATTACGATCGTTTTGTGGAACGGGGCCCTGGTCAAGTTTCTGTCGATTGTAAAATGCGTTTCTAAATCAATTAGTTTACCCAAAAGGAAGCATTGGGAGTAGTACACTTGTAGATGATAAACACTGTACACATGTTTGTTTTTTGTTTAACGCCGCACTCTAGCTACATGACGGCGGTCTGTAAATAATCGAGTCTAGACCAGATAATCCAGTGATTGACATCATGAGCATCGATCCAAGCAATTGGGATACGATGACATGCATCAACCAAATCAGCAAGCCTGACCACCCGATCCTGTTAGTCACCTCTTACGACAAGCATAGTCGCCTTTTTACGACAAGCATGGATTGCTGAAGACCTATTCTACCCCGGATCTTCGCTGGTCTTGTACACATATAGATAAGACTTGAATCTGTATGCATAAGGGTCGAACATGTGTATATGACAAGAGTTGTGTAGGTGTAGATGATAAGAGGTGTCTACGTCTAGACGAGAGCTGTATACGAGTCGTATACGTGTGGGTGATAAGAGTCACATACGTTGATGATAAGATGGATACATGTATGCTTGATACCATGTTTACTTTCATTAGGAAGTGTAAACGCATGCACATAACCAGTGTCCATGTACGAGCGAATCAAATAATATCCCCAGGTATCATTGAATTCATCTGTGATAACGTTTAATTACAGGTGTGTATGTAGAATTCCACTTCGGTGTTCAGTAATTAAAAAGAAGCATTTTAACATACTCCAGATACTTCACAGGCTCCTGGCATGGGCGAATACCTGAGTCAGCAATATTACCATGGTCTGATTTATCTTCCATTGGTGGACACTGGTCACCATTGGGATATAATGACACTTAGTCAAGACAATGGCGTCAGGTCACATGTCCAAGGTCAAAAGTCATAATTATCCCTCATGGTAACGGGGACCTCTTGTGTCCCGGGATACCATGGGAAGGGATATTATGTTCCTTAAGAGGTGTTCCCTTTCACGTTTTTTTTATTACATCGAGAACAAACAATCGATTTGGAGTTATGTTTTTTATTATCAAAAACGTTTCTACAAAGAGATGATCTACAAACAGAATACCCAACACGTGGAAACCCTATACAAGATCTGATTGCAGTAGTAGAAATGAGTATGTCACTGTTCTTGGTTTCGCAGTCACGTGGTGTTGAACAGGTAAATATCGGTCACAACAAAATGTATATGAAAATAATCAATGTAACATATGGAAATAACTGAAATGTTCCAAGTTTTAAAAAGAAGTCTGGAATTATCTAAGCAAAGTATTTTTGGTCATGCAATACTTGTTCCAGGAGCACCTGTGAAAATACAACACAGACAAAATCATAATAAGAACAAAAGGATTCATAACGTATCTTGAATAATCAAATTATAAACAAATCAATGTGTGGCATAACCATAATATTAATATGCAAAAACACGGGATATAATCCTTGATTTAAAAATAAGGACCACATGGTTTGAGGCTCAGTATTGATGCTTTGTTATTACAAACGATCGTCACTGTTGGCAGGTGAAAATGGAACTGATTCAGAAATAACGCAGACAGAGCTTGGGCATTAAACCAATAAACATGGTATGCCATTTTCGAAAACGTTCATACCTAATATGCATATATACTACTCAAGACAAGTTAATAACACCCGATTTTATCATATAACTATAGTTAATCTGTTATGGCAAGACATACAAACGTTAGTAATATGAAATAAATCGGATAGTCCTTAACTTATTTTTAATAGTATATTACTGAAAATCATAAATGCTGAAAAGTGAGTTGTGTTTTACGCCGCTTTTAGCAGAATTACATCCGTGTCAGGGCGCGGTCACCATGGACTTCTAACGCTGTACCCATTTGGGTATCGATCCTTGGGATTTGGCGAGTCCAGCCAACGTTTCAACAACTGAGCTACCCCATGGGCAATTGGCTGAAAGGATTTAGCTTTGTTATTGTAAGTAAACGTAACACAAACGTTTCATGTGAACACATGCATAGATGTTCCATTTGCACATAATCCAAAATACAAATCAAATTATTATCTCATTGTGCCAGTTATATCAATGACACCAACGTGCATCAATGCGTTTTCAGCTGAGTCAAGGTCAAGGCCGTTTGAGATGAGAGATCAACGGGACATTTACAATGAAAATCAACTGGTCCTGGGTTTTATCTGAGCAGGTACATGACGCAATGTAGTATAATGCAGGTACAAAACATGATTTTCCGGTGGTGTAAATTCAAAGACACCCTACTCACGTACAAAGTATTAGGTACTCAAGGTTGAAAAATATTGACAGACCCGCACAATATCGATGGAAGAAGCATTGCTTGTTATGTGGAAGAAGCATTGCTTGTTATGATGTTAGTCGAGCCATTCAGTGGCCGTGTCAACTTTCTACACTAGCTACAGGGAAACATTCAGTGATACTGGTAGGTCATGGAAGGTGAGCTACACGTGTAGTGGCTGCGTTTCGGCGATTTGGTCAGAAATGATTGTTCATGTTCATTGATATCATAATCTTCCATCATGGAGATGAGAACACAAGTTGAGGGACCTAGTCTTAAATATCCGTGACGTCGAAATGTCCTAAACCCTAAAAGCGATTACAATTTGGTAATCAGTTTTGATGAACATTTGTTCTTGTCAATATTTTACTACTTCGCTCGAACGCACCCTATACACGCTGTAATACTACTAGTGTATTGGAAGTCAAACGTGAATAGTAGCACCGTATCCACAAAATGGCAGCTGGATTTACATGATTTGAGCAAACAGTAAAAGACAATTTAGAAACACGCACAGACATAACAAAACGATTAGTCACTTAACAGACCAACCTTCACAATTTTAAAGGGGCTCATTTCTGCATATAGAAGCCCAGCCTAAATTGTTTAAAAAAAAATTAATTGAACGACTACCATACCTTTTGCGAGGCATAAGATTAAAATCATAAACGAGACCCTTCTAAGATTACGCAAAGTTATAAACCTATTGGTAAGTGATGCTCATTCTAAAGCACTGTTACGTATGTATGTACGTATGTGTGGTCAATACGTATATAAACTAGCTTCTGTCATGGATATATGTATCCAACCCTGTTTGAGCTTGACTATTTAAAAAGTAACCAGCTAAACAGGCCTTTCCTAAATGAAATGTTCTCAAAGAATGCGTCAACTTGCAAAACCAGAAATGTTATGGCAGTATCAGCACACTAACAGAACACGTGAACACAATAACGCAGCCAGTAAAGACCACTGGCTGACGGAATCCAAAACATATGTTGTCTTTCCCTCTGTTACACGTTCATAAAGATCTATAACTACAAGGAAGTTTGTGTGTTCACGTCAACCAGTGTGGCCGTTTTGTTCATATTTCAAGCAGCTGCCATTGAGAGAGAGGAAGTAAAGCGACACCTAGAGCAAAAAACCAGCGCCCTCTAGCGGTGACATTAACCGGAAGTACTGGTCCATCCAGCCACATAGAAATGCAAGATCTGTGCCCGACTCCACATCGAAATAAATTGACACAAATCCGTTGTGACGATCGTTTACATTTGTTTCGTTGCGGAATGAGGCAGCTAGGTGTCAGGACCACATTTTGATTTCGGATATCCTCGATAAGGTGCACGTTGTTTACAGGCCCGGATGTAGGAAATGCCAGCCTTGTCTTCATGTCAAGGTCGGTTAAACTGACAGTAGGGAGAGTCACGTGACGGCCACTGACCCTCATCAATCAAAGACGTGTCCATCGTGTGTCCCAGGTGATTATAGCATCAATATAGGGCATTTACAAACGGCTTTTCCTCCCTTCAATGTAATACACGATTGAGGTTAAGATCGCCCATACAGGGGCTGCGATGCCGAGCCAGAAGGACCAACTAAATATTTTTTTCACGTTATCGTGTTCGTCCCAACTGACAACAGCTTTAAAGTTTTGATCCGAGTGGGCGTTGATGCCGAATGTGACCACACCGCCTCCCATCGACAGAGCTGAAACACAAAAGAGCATTTTATATGTTTTGTTTGTTTGTTGTTTAAAGCCGCACGGTCTAGACCAGACAGTCCAGTGATTGACAACATGAGCATCGATACATGCAATTGGGATGCGATGAACGACTGCGATGCATCAACCATGTCAGTGAACCTGACCACCCGATCCCGTTAGTCGCCCCTTACGACAAGCACAGTCGCCCTTTACGGCAAGCATGGGTTGCTGAACGCCTGTTCTATCCCGGATCTTCACGGGTCGATATTGCACACCGTAAACAGTGTAATGAGATATCCCTGTTCGTATAGCATGACGGCCATTCTGAAGACTTGGTATTCTGTACTTGACGTAACCACTAGATCAATACTATCAGTTTCATGACTGCTGTCAGATGGTGTTGTGTCATGTGATAGTCACGTGCGCGAATTCCAGCTGGTCTTGGTTGAGGTCCTATTGGGCGGAGACAAGCCGTGTGGACACGTCAAAAGTCTAATTACTGGAGAGGTGCGCAACCCAGGCACCACCTAACATACCATTTCTCAATGGAGCGGGTATTTCTTGGACGGGTGAGGGTGACACGTTTCTTATGAACCTCTGATGACGTCTCACTACAGTAACGGAAGGTTCTTCCAGAGACCATATACCGATCGGTATATGGTCTCTGGTTCTTCTAAATGTTGGTAAACTTCCAAGGCCGGCAATATCAACAATGCCCGGGACCTGATGAATACATTTCAATTGCAATACCTAGGTTTTACAATTAACGTTTTATAAACTTGTCTCTTGATGATTGGTTAAAAGTTAAAAAAGAACCCAAATTAACATGAAAATTCCATGACGTAAATCAAACCTGCAACCTCACAGGTAGTGAGTGAGTTGTGTTTAACGCCGCTTTTAACATTATTCCAGTTATATCGCGGCGTGTCAGCTTAATGTGGGAGGAAAGCCCAAAGTGATGCAGGTCTTAGACGTTTACCACTTCGGTGAAACCCACGAGCACGGGTATGGTGCTGACAAACCAGAAACATAATCGGGGCGAACTGGGATTCGAACCCAACATCATAGGTTTCTGGCGTGCCCAAGGGACGCAACTCTGCACAGCGAATCGCGGCGCCTTAGACGACTGGGCCACCCGTGCCCCCATGTCATTCAGAGAATTTATTATATCTACTGTTTTATTAGTAAAATATCTTGATGTTTCTTGATGATTGGAAAATTCCATGAATCGAACCTGCAACCTCACATATCGTATTATGTTTTTAACCCACTGTTTTACCACCGACCTTCCGGGGCAGGTGATGAACAGATGTTCAGTTTATCATGTTATGACTCCAGCTAGTCCACGCTGCACGTGTTTTTTCTCTCGCACGCTTTGAACAAATTCCTTTAATACCGCGATACTGTGTATAGTTTCACTTTAGGGTATGTCGATGTCTTCTTATTTGTTCTGGTACGTCTTGCATTTAGACGGTTCATAAGATGGATAAAGCATGCCTCCTAGGTTTTGGTTGAAAATTTAAAAACCTGACCTCGGGAAAAGCCCGGCCCGGTTGCTTTTCCCTCACTCGCGGTTTTACATTTTCAACCCAAACCTCGGAGGCGTGTCTCATCCTATACATAAAGCCGTGGTTACACGAGGTCTGTGCAGATACCTACCAGCGAGGACTAGAAGTATGGAAACTGCAAGACTGGCATTGCAACCTTTACATCCACAGCACAGTGCCATTGTCGCCAACATCAGTGACAGCAATCCCAACGCCAGACCACACGACATCAGCGCCTGAGTTGCTTTCCACCAAACTGAAAAATGCAAACGATCAATTAACATGGCGTTTATAAAACACAGAGAGACTAAACGGCAACTGATACCAACCTAGGTACAACTACGACGGACAATCTAATGCAAAAGAAGTGGATCACCTAAAAAGATACTAAGAAATTAATAAAATTAAACCAACAGTCGGTTTCACCTACTTAGGTTGTCTGTCCAGATTTGAAGATGTCATGTCATGCCACGACGCTGTCGTATTGGCCGTAGCAGACATACAGCTAGACTAACATTTAGTCTCTGAAATCTTATATTACACAATATCGTTCTTGACTCTTAAAAAAAAAAATATTCCCTATGCTGATTTCAGAATAGAGGTAGCTTGAGCTGGCTAGACTTGCTTTTGTATACATTTCTAGATTATTTTTTCTCTCATAAAATAAATATATTCCACGGTCATGGTGCAGGACTAATATACAGCTGAATATTACTGAAAGGTGAGTATGCTCCAGTATGTATCCCTTGTGATGAGAGAATCACGGTTACGCATGTCCTACTGTGTTGATGTTTCCATGACAAGAGATACATATTTTCAAGTTTTGACTCGAAAAAAAGAAAAAAAAGAAAAAAAAGAGAAAAGAAATACATTTTGATTTACAAAGTCAGCTATTTTTATAATTCGGAAGTATATACTGAGATAGTGAGTGGTTGTGCCGTCGATGTGGGTTGAAGTAGTGTAAATTATAGTCCCGCCTGAGGGGAATTGTATGACCATGTCATTCAGAGAATTTATTATATCGACTGTTTTATTAGTAAAATATCTTGATGTTTCTTGGTGATTGGAAAATTCCATGAATCGAACCTGCAACCTCACATATCGTATTATGTTTTTAACCCACTGTTTTACCACTGACCTTCCGGGGCAGGTGATGCAAAGTTGTTCAATTTATCATGTTATGACTCCAGCTAGTCCATGCTGCACGTGTTTTTTCTCTCGCACGCTTTGAACAAATTCCTTTAATACCGCGATACACTGTATTGTTTCACTTGAGGTATGTCGATGTCTTCTTATTTTTTCAGGTACTTCTTGCACTTAGACGGTTCATAGGATGGATAAAGCATGTCTCCTCTTTTTCTTCGTTAATTTTCGGTTAGTTTGTTTATATTTAAATGTAGATGTTACCATTACTTTGTCTAGTCGCAATATGGCTGAAATATTTTCGACGTGACTTTTAATTTTAACTCACTCATTATGGAGCCCTCGAAAACACCCATGACCCCATGACCCCCATGCACAATACCAAAACTAGTGGGACAGAAAAAATCCCATTCAAAAACAGGCATTTGTTACCAGTCAATAGACTTACATTTGAGGGCCAGTGAATTTAAATAATTCGTGAAGCAATTACATGTATTGTCTTGTAATGTTACACCTGTTGATGAATTGGTCATGGTGTTGAGATGCGTTAACACGGACGTGTGGCCGGTCGAAGTAAAAATGTATTAGTGTTAGAAAGCTTCGAAAAGGCGATATCCTCTAGATCCACGTATGTATTGAAAACAAGCAAATGAGGTTTCAGATTTTTCACAGATCCATTCAAAAATGGCATATCCGAGACAGAAACATATTGAATTATAAAGTCTGTATAAAGTTACTATGGCAATTAGGCTTCTCCATCTCCGGAAAAGATCACAGGTTACAAAGATGACGTTATTGGAGGCAGATGAGGCCATAGTTCTAAATGTGAGAGTTTTTGACGAGTCTTGTCAAACCTATACGTTCTCACTAGACCGTCCACGTCGTTGGCGACAAGGGAGTGATCCTGTGTTGGTATTAATAGTCCTCTGGAACATTTGACAGCTGCCATAGCTTGATTCTAAGTAATTACATCTGGCAAATTCGTGAAGGTGACGCAATCATAATTGCTTGTGCCTGGCAGAGAAGTCTGCTGAGAACGACATTTTGGCTTCATAGATCGTGACCAGATTCATAAATCGTGATTTTGATGTCCACAGTTCCGCCCCTTAGTCGCGCCAGGATCCGCTGATAATGGGTTCAAAGTCCAGATTCGTACTGATTCTGATCCATGATCTGCCAATGGTTTCACCAAGAGATAAATGGGTAAAGAGGTAAAAATACCAAAATGACAATAATCAAGTCAGGAATGCGAATGCCCAATCGACTGAATCATCAGTCACCTGTTGACGGACTGCCGCTTTGAAATGGGAGAGACCCGTAGTCGCAAACACCAAAGAATCGCAGGTATTAGACGTTTACCACGTTTGTGAAGCCCAGCAGATTGGGTCGGGTGCTAGTTTACACATTCACGATTATATGCTGGTCGAGCCTGGATTCGAACTGCCACCATGCATCCGGGTGGTGGTGGTGGTTTTGTAGGTGCTGATGGTGGCGGTGTATTGGCCACGTGATGGGGGGCAATAATAAATCGCTCCGTCACAACTGCCTTTCGAAATATAAAACTTTTCAAAACAGGTAGTTACGAACCCTAGTCTGTATATACCCTGAAACAAATATATCCAATACAGCCCATGCAAGTCTAGCTTACTGCAGTATCTGAAAATGACGAGAGTCTCCGGGCTCCTTTTTATTATATTTCATTACAATAATTTAACAACTGTTTTTATCTGTAAAATATGGTCATTTTGAACTGGGACTATATGTCTACTGCAACCCTTTCTCAAACTGATACAACCGTTTAGACTACAAAGGTACACGTTTAAGGTAATTTCCCTATGTTAATAATGTTGAGCTTTATGTGGCAAGATCGACTGACGAATACAGGGAGGGTGGCTTCAACGTGTGATCCGGTTTCCTAGAGCCAGATGCAGCGTTCATGTTTTCCTGATCCGATTGTACACAGGTTAATTGCCGTAACGTAGCTGTAACCTGGCTGCTTGTGTAAAACAGCTTTAACTCACTCACCCATCGCTTCCCTTAAAAGACGAATTCAACATTTCCATACTTTCTAGAACAACCAATGTCCAATCCCACTGACAATCAATCAAAATTTAGTTAAATATTGAACTCTAATTACAGTAAACTACGGTTATAACGAACACGCTTATAACGAACTGACTGATATAACGAACTTATTTTTTAGCCCCGGCCATTTGTTGCATATATGCTGTATATATGCTTATAACGAACTACAGTTATAACGAACTAAAATAAGTGGTCCCTTTGAGTTCGTTATAACCGTAGTTCGTTATAACCGTAGTTTACTGTAATGTCATCAGTAATGATTATGCGTCCAAAATATTCATACAACCGATGCTTAGTTCAGATGCAACATACCACATACCACCATTACAGAATACCACGCCCCGATTATGCGTCTATGTTTGAGAGCACCACACCCGTGCTCGTGGGTTTCACCGAAGTAGTAAACGTAGACCTGCATCACTTCGGTCTTTCCTCCCACAGAAAGCAGACATATTACAGACGTGGTATAACTGTTCAAACGCATCTCACTAACTCACATAATTGCTATGCGTATGTGTGCTCATATCCGACGTTTCAATGCCCTGGCATTAATTTTTCCACAGGGGATGACGCCCGATTGGCATTTAGAAATACGCCAGATATGAGGAGAGTAAAATAAGGAAAAATTCTCGTCGCGAAGCCTCCAAACATTAGTTGACATTTCTCTTGAGCGAGTTTTTGTTTTATCTAAGTGGTTGCTACCGGTTACCGATAATTACTTGACATAGCTTCTCATAAATGTCGGCAAAAATGTCGACATGTTTTCAAGAGCTTTCGAATTACACGTTTCCGATGGATTGAACTCCGCACTAGTTGGATAATTCATGCTTTTAACATTTAAAATAATAGGAGTACAACTTGTCATCCCATTGAACAATAAAGAATCCATTCCTCTGTTGTAAACAAGTCGTTATGTGTGATGGTCCGTATGTAGTAGTGCTTCTTATGTGTGTGTGTGTGCGTGTGCGTGTGCGTGTGCGTGTGCGTGTGCGTGTGCTTGTACAAGTCCGGACTGATTCCGATTTATAGTGCCGGCCCACTAAGATACCATGACGCAGTTCAACATGAATACCCAACTCAGACTACCCGTGAAGATTCCGGGGTAGAATTGGTCTTCAGCAACCAATGCTTGCCGTAAAAGGTGACTATGCTTGTCGTAAAAGGCGACTAACGGGATCGGGTGGTCAGGCTCGCTGACTTGGTTGATGCATGTCATCGATCCCAATTGCGTGGATCGATGCTCATGATATTAATCACTGGATTGTCTGGTCCAGACTCGATTATTTACAGACCGCCGTCATATAGCTGGAATATTGCTGAATGCGGCGTTAAACAACAAACCAAACCAAAAACCCAACTCAGACACAGCATACTGACTCCGAGCCGACCAGTCCTTGTGTTAGCGCCTTGATGCCGAGCGCCTTTTACAACTTGGCTGAAACTCACGAGCACGGGTATGATGCTGGCTAACCGAGATACATAATCACGGCGACACCGGGATGTGAAGCAAGGATGATAAGTTTAAGGCCTGATGGACGCACAGCGAAATACGGCCAGTAAGACGACTGGGACGTCTCTGTCCCCCTGATGACGGAGGTAAATGAGACAAGGGTGTTGGGGACGTGTATATGCGTTTCAATTGAAGATTAGACACGCCGCCTTTTGCTAGCAATATACCATCATATCAATGCGGCGAGGATTAACCAATGTGGGAATCGATTTGGGTCTCATGTTTAACGAGCGAACACTTTCCCTCTGGGCTAACCTGAAGTGGTCAAGAATCGCCTTTTGAGTCTTCACAGGTGATCCCATTATCCGCTTGGCTCCATGTAAACACGTGGGGACCCGGATAAGTAAAGATCCTCAAAACTCTGTTCGGGGTCTTCGCGTTGGTACCTGGTTAGGATAGGCCGCCAAAGAGCAGTTGCTTTTTGTACGAGGCGATTATATGTATGTGATTCGTAGTCAGGTTCAGTGACTTGGTTGATGGCGCGTCATTGTGCGCCGACAGCGTGGGACGCTGATAAT